CCTGCAAGACATTGGTATACATATAGAGTTCTTAGAAAAGATCCCAGAGGGACAGGCAATCAAAGCCAAAATTGACAAATGGGATTACATCAAATTGAGAAGCTTCTGTATTGCAGAAGAAATAGCAAAGTGAAGAGGCAATTCACAGAATGGGAGAAAACTATGCAACCCATAAAGGATTAATAACCAGAACATAAAGAGATCAAGAAACTAAACAACAATAAAACAAACAACCCAGTTAAGAAATGGGCAAAGGACTTAAATAGACATTTTTCAAATGGGAAAATCCAAATGGCCAATAAACACATGAAAAAATGCTCAGGATCACTAGCTATCAGAGAAATGCAAATTAAAACCACAACGTTTCGCCTTACCCCCATTAGAATGGCTTTCGTACAGAAATCAACAACAAATGCTGGTAAGGATGTTGGGAAAAAGGTACCCTAATCCACTGTTGGTGGATATGTAAACTGGTACAGCCACTATGGAAGACAGTATGGAGATCCCTCAGAAATCTGAATATAGATCTACCTTATCATCCAGTCATCCCACTCTTGGTAATTTACTCAAGGGAAATGAAATCAGCACGTGAAAGACTTATCTGTACTGCCATGCTTATTGCAGCTCAATTCACAATATTAAGATATGGAGTCATCCCAAATGCCCATTAACTGAAGACTGGATAAAGAAATTATGGGATATGTACACCACAGAATACTATAAAAAACCCCAGTCATCTGCAACAAAATAGATGAAATTGGAAAACATCATACTTATCATACTTAGTGAAATAAGCTAGTCCCAAAGGGACAAATACCATATGTTCTCCCTGACACGTGATAACCTAAAAGACAATCTTAAAAGTGAAATTGACACTTTGAGAAGCGATGACTCTGAACAGCCCTTGTCTACACTGTTGAGGAACAGTTTATTTTTTTCATACTACTGTTGAACTCTTTACTTAACATAAGAGTTAATCGTATGTGTATAAAAAAGAATCACCATGTTCCTAAAGTTATAAATATGAAATATGGCCAGCACCGCGGCTCACTAGGCTAATCCTCTGCCTTGCGGCGCCGGCACACCGGGTTCTAGTCCCGGTCAGGGCGCCGGATTCTGTCCCGGTTGCCCCTCTTCCAGGCCAGCTCTCTGCTGTGGCCAGGGAGTGCAGTGGAGGATGGCCCAGGTGCTTGGGCCCTGCACCCCATGGGAGACCAGGATAAGTACCTGGCTCCTGCCATCGGATCAGCGCAGGGCACCGGCCGCAGCAGCCATTAGAGGGTGAACCAACGGCAAAGGAAGACCTTTCTCTCTGTCTCTCTCTCTCACTGTCCACTCTGCCTGTCCAAAAAAAAGAAATGTATGAAGTCTGTATTCCTGAATAAAATGTTTCCGGGTGGGAAAAAAAAAAAAAAAAAAAAAGGAAAGAAAGTGGTGATAAGGTTTTAACAGGATACTTCACCAAGTTCATGGAAAATGAAACAGCTTATTTTGGTTCCAAAGTTCTGAAATCTATACATAGTTTTCTCATAATCTGCATTTTCCATGAACTCTTTAAAGATCCCTCATAAACATGAACTTCAACAACCTTTTGCATAAAAAAATACACACAAGCTATTACTTGAGATTTATAAGTTATAATAAATAAATATGTATATATTACCTGTCATGAGGAAAACATGCTAACAATGATTATAAGAGGATATAGACAGCAGGAAGCAATTTACTGAGGAGACGTAAGAGAATTTCTCTCTTTAACCAGCTTAAGAGTAGCAACAAGAATTCTCACAATAAATGCTGCATAATTTGTACAATAGTTTTTCAAGAAAGATTTGATTCCATTTTATGATTTCCACAAGAAAGTAGGTATGAAGTAACAATACCTATGTTTTATAAGTGAATAGAAAGTTAAAATTCACCAAGTCAAGTAATTTGCACTAAGACATCAATCTAAAAATCTCTGGGCTCCAAATCCATTACTTACTGCCTTCTGTTCCATTATTCACTGCCTATGTTCCAAGCTTAGGTAATCATCTAAGGAGAATATAAAATATTTCAAAAATGGCATATGGAGAAATATAGAATATATGCTCTAAAGTACATAAAATGGGAGTACAGTAAATTTCACAGAAAAACCCACTTTTTTCTGAATGTTACCTTGTCATTGTTTGCAGTGCTCTAAATTATCAAAAGTTTATGACTATTTAAAACTAAAACTCAGGATTTCTAAATTAAAGGGATTAAAAACAATTTCCTTAAAATAAGCAACAGATTAAGAGTTAAATTTATATCTTCACTAAACCTAAGAGAAAATGAACATTATGTAAAGCATCAAAGAAAAAAGTAATTGATATTTTAGAACAGCAAAAAGATGATAACACTAGGGGATTTAAGCTTGATGAGGATTATTATAGTGAAGGAAAAAATAGTACTGTTATGGGCCCATAATTATATTTTTGGCTAACAACAGGGCACATATTTGATGGTGGCCCATAAGATTATAATGCAAAAAAAATTACAATGGAGCTGAAACAATAGGCCACGTATCTTATGGCTGTCCATAAGATTATAATGGAGCTGAAAAATCTCCATTACCTAGTGACATCATAGCGCAATGCATTAATCAATCACTTGTTTGTGGTGATACTGTTATAAGCAAATCTAATGAGCTGCCAGCTGTATATAAAAGTAGAGCACATACAATTATATACAGAACATTTCTTTATGATAATAAAGATGGGGGCCAGTGCTGTGGTGTAGTAGGAAAGCCACTACCTACAGTGCTGGCATCCCATATGGGCACCAATTTGAGTCGTGGCTGCTCCACTTCCTATTCAGCTCTCTGCTAAGGCCTGGGAAAGCAGTAGAAGATGGCCCAAGTCCTTGGGCCTCTGTACCCACGTGGGAGATCCAGAAGAAGCTCCTGGCTCCTGGCTTCAGGTCAGCGCAGCTCAGGCCACTGTGGCCATCTGGAGAGTTAACCAGTAGATGGAAGACCTCTCTCTCTCTCTCTCTCTCTCTCCCCCTCCCTCCCTCCTTCCCTGCCTCTCTGTAACTCTGCCTTTCAAATAAATAAATAAATCTTTTAAAATAATAATAATAAAGATGATTTACTAGCTTTTTTATTTTTTTAATTTTTTTTGACAGGCAGAGTGGACAGTGAGAGAGAGAGAGAGAGAGAGAAAGGTCTTCCTTTACCGTTGGTTCACCCTCCAATGGCCGCTGCAGCTGGTGTGCTGTGGCTGGCACACCACGCTGATCCAAAGCCAGGAGCCAGATGCTTCCTCCTGGTCTCCCATGCGGGTGCAGGGCCCAAGCACTTGGGCCATCCTCCACTGCACTCCTGGGCCATAGCAGAGAGCTGGACTGGAAGAGGGCCAACGGGGACAGAATCCGGAGCCCTGACCGGGACTAGAACCCGGGGTGCCAGCACCACAGGCAGAAGATTAGCCTAGTGAGCCGTGGCGCCAGCCAAAGATGATTTACTAGCTTATGTATTTTTCTATACTATACTTCCTATTATTTTAGAGGATACCCTACTTATTAGAAAAAAAGTTTACTAACAGTATGCTTTGTTATATTGACAGCAGCCTCAAATACTTGACTTATCAAGAAACCACATCAAGTTACCAAACTATACTAATTAGGTTTGTGTAACTACACTATAGTCTATGATATTTGTACGATGAAAAAAATTTCCCAGTAAAGTGTTTCTCAGAACATGTTTCCATCATTAGCCAATGCATGACTAACTTTACCATGGAGAAACACAGCAGATACTGCCTTAGTTAAATGATACATCACTGACAATGGAACAAACTAATGTCATATATATTACCTGATATACCAAGAAGGACATAACATCACTTACGTATTTTCTATCACACACACACATATATACACATAAATGTAATCTAATCACAAAGAAGCATGAGAAAATGGTACTACTCTAAAAATTAACTGGTCTATGTTTTTCAAAAATATCAATGTCATAATTAGTAAATAATGGCTAAGAAACTATTTCAAATTAAACAAGATATGACAACTAAAGGGCATCCTGAACTAGATCCTATACAGGGAGAAACAGAATATAACTGAAACTTTTAATGACAACTGCATACAGTCTATATATAAGCATGCTACACATCAATGTTAAACTTCCTGAATGTGATAATTTTTCATTATGTAAAAAATTGTCTTTGTTATTAGGAATATTTAGGCGCAAGTATTTAGGAGGAATGGTGTGGGGGCTGGCACTGTGGCGTAGAAAAGCTAAGTCTCTACCTGTAGTGCCAACATCCCATATGGGTGCTGTTTCATGTCCTAGCTGCTCCTCTTCCAATCCAACTCTCTGTTTAATGGCCTAGGAAAGCAGTGGAAGATGGCCCAAGTGCTTAGGCCCCACATGGGAGACCCAGATGAACTCTGGGTTCCTGGCTTCAACCTGGCCTATTGGTGGCCATTTGGGGAGTGAACCAGTGGATGGAAGATTGTCTCTCTCTCTCTCTGTAACTCCACCTTTCAAATAAAATAAATACATTACAAAAAATAAAATTAAACAGTATTTAGGAAAAATAAGGAAGCACAGTTAATGCTATCATCAGTTGCTATACAACTCCAAAGAGCACACTTTACAGTTTACAATATACCCCATGAAGTTCTGTAATGATGTGATCCTGTTACAATGAATAAGAAAATACAGAGAATATTTTTTCCTTTTTCTTAATCACATCAATTCTTTTCCTAGCAATGAATTCTGGATTTAATAGAAGGAAACCGCAAGATCATAGATGCCTCTCAATACTCTTAATAAAGGTGCTAATGCACTTTAAAATCAATTTATTTTCTTTTCCAATTTTAATCAGTCTTCTGTCACCAATTCTTGACCTAAATCCCAAAATAAATACCTGAACAAACCATACCTTATCAAAAACACAAAAAGCAGCCAAAAAACCCCTTACAAATGCAAAGCAAAGTCCCAAACCAAACCATACTATTACCTGTTTCTGAGGCTGTGAAAAGGCTTCTTTTCCTATAACATGAAGAATAACATGATGTTGACCTTCCAAAATAAGCTGCTTACTGTCTTCCACGACATATGCCTAGAAAATACAAAGCATATTGAACCACTTGGCAGTAACCACAAAAATACCAACACAATATTTGATGGAAGGTAGAAATATTATGGCTAGTATCTATCAACTATCAACACTCATGGCTGTACCTGCATTTCCAATCTATTAATTCAATCAATAAAGAATTTGTCCCAAAAATCTAACTTGCTGCAATATACCATGATTGGCCTAGATACCTTAGAGAGACACACCTTGAAATCTTTTGCAATGTACTCCAGAACTCTTAAGAAACTACTTAAAAAGAACTGTGCTGACATCTGTTATACCATCTGTGAATGCCAGTTCAACTCCAAGGTGCTCCACTTCTGATCCAGCTCCCTGCTAATGCATCTGGGCAAAGCATCAGAAGATGGGCCAAATGCCTGTCCCCTCCCAACCAATGTGGGAGACCTAGAAGGAGTTCTAGGCTCCTAACTTCCATCTGGTCCAGCCCCAACTGTTGCAGCCATCTGAAGAATAAACCAGTGAGTAGTCTCTCTCTCTCTCGGCCTTTCAAATAAATAAATATATGTTTTAAAGATTTTATTTATTTGAGAGGTAGAGTTTCAGACAGTGAGAGGGAGAGACAGACAGAAAGGTCTTCTATCCATTGGTTCACTCCCCAAATGGCTGCAACGGCCGGAGATTTACTGATCCAAAGCCAGGTGCTTCTTCTGGATCTCCCACATGGGTTCAGGGGCCCAAGGACTTGGGTCATCTTCTACAGCTTTCCCAGGCCATAGCAGAGAGCTGGATTGGAAGAGGAGTAGCCGGGACTAGAACCAGCACCCATATGGGATGCTGGCACCACAGGCAGAGGATTAACCTACCGCGCCATGGCGCCAGCCCCCAAATATTAAAAAATAAAAAAGAATAAAAATAAAAAACTATGCCAGAACACAGGCTCTCTTCTTTACTGCACTTCCAGTATACAGGCAAAAGATTTACTCTTAAATTCTTTATTCTGAAATGCCCTAGGGTTGGTCACCCACAGCAGAGAAAAATTTATGAGTATAATCATAAATCCTATAAGTAGAAATGTCACATTCTTGGAGAACACTTTTAAAAAAGGGATTTTTTCTTCCTACAATATAATGAGCTGATTTCATCTATATTAAAATGCTTTTTCTAGGTTATAAATCTTTTCCTACCAAATTGCTACAGTTCTGAAAAAAATATTGTAAATGATTGTGATTTACTATTATTGTCACATTATGCAAATAAAAGGCTTGATTTTTTTTCAAAAAGCTAATTTTCTTTACCATTAGATTCACACAGACATAAAATTATTCAGTCAAAATGCTATATAAGTTTCTAAAGATTTATTTATTTGAAAGTCAGAGTTACACAGAGAGAGAAGGAGAAGCAGAGAGAGAGAGGTCTTCCTTCTGCTGGTTCACTTCCCAATTGTCTGCAATGGTCGGAGCTGCACCAATCCGAAGCCAGGAGCCAGGAGTTTCTTCTGGGTCTTCCCTGTGGGTACAGGGGCCCAAGAACTTGGGCCATCTTCTACTGCTTTCCCAGGCCATAGAAGAAAGCTGGATAGGAAGTAGAACAGCCGGGACTTGGAAGAGCACCCATATGGGATGCCAGCACTGCAGATAGCAGCTTTACCCCTATGCCACAGCGCCAGCCCCTGTACAAGTTTCTAAATGCTTACTTTTAAGTTCTGTATCATGGACTAGTGACAGTTCCTTTCAACATATGATACTTCGAAATGAGCTGCACTAAGGCACAGGATAGACAGGACTTGCTCGGCATCCAGGAGTACAGAAACCAGAAGTGCAGGAAGGGTTAAACACCTGATGGATGACCTTTAGCCCAGAGGGAAAGTATGCTGACAGATGAGGTCCTAAGACACGACAGCTATCTTTCCAGATGGTTCCACGGGATTGAACAACAGCCACTATATCCATGGCTATTTCTATAACATCCTCCACCCTGCACAAAGGCTTGGATTTTTGAAACAAGCTTAAAAAGTAGAGATATATTTATATATATTTGAAAGGCAGAGTGACAGAGAGAGAAGAAACAGAGAGAGAGACAGATCATCCACCCAATGGTTAACTCCCAATGCCACAATGTCAGGGTTGGGCAAGGCCAAAGCTAAGAGCCTGGGACTCCATCCTGATCTCCCAGGTGGCTGACGAGGCCCAAGTACATGGGCCATCATTTGCTGCCTTCCCAGGCATATTAGCAAGAAGCTAGACTGAAAACAAAGCAGAAGGACTCACTCCAACCCTCCAATAGGGGATGCTGGTTTAGCTTTAGCTTATTAACTGTAAGCATTAGCTTATTAACCTGCTGTGCCAAAAACACAGCCCCATTTTTAATTAAGATTGGTTACAAATTGTACTATGTACCCTTCCTAACTACTCTTTTCATAAAAATGCCACCCAAGCTCTTAGCTTTCCTGAATCATATTTTATTCAGAATCCTGTTTCCTCTGCATCTTATTCAACAATTTAAATTTCAAATCTGTAATTTAACAGGTCATTTTTTTGTGCTGTTACAGCCCTCACTTAAGAAATGTACCACTTTTTCAACTATGCACACAATAAACTTATAATAGGTACTTCATATTTCATTCTTTATTCAAATTCTCATTTTTCAGTCAAGAAGCATCACAGTCTTGCTTTTTTTGTTTTTGTTTTTTCTTGTGATTACTCATACTAGTAGTAGTCTTTACTTCAAGGAAATGTTTTGTTTTGTTTTGTTTTAAATGCCACTTCTCTAAATCTAACCAAGGTTAGCTATGGATATAACATTGAATATGCAATTCAGCATGCATTACTCAAAATCTTGTTTCATAAATATTACAAATTCTTACTTGGCATGAACCTGTCGAGTAACAGTCACAAATATTAAGGGTCAATTATACATTTACTTAATGCATCATGGTTTACATTAAGGGGCACTGAGTCTGAAAATGAGATCCACTTTATAGCAAGCTTTATAAGTATCTGATTTTAAGCTAATAATGTACAACTCATCTTTCTAACATGAAATACTTTCTACAGTCAATTAAAGTACCAACTCATGTAAGCAGTGTTTCATTTGAAATTCATACAAACCCAGCTTAGTTTAAAAACAAAAAATGCAGCCGGCGCCGTGACTCACTAGGCTAATCCTCTGCCTGCGGCACAGGCACTCTGGGTTCTAGTTCCGGTCGGGGCGCCGGATTCTGTCCCGGTTGCTCCTCTTCCAGTACAGCTCTCTGCTGTGGCCTGGGAGTACAGTGGTGGATGGCCCAGGTCCTTGGGCCCTGCACCCACATGGGTGACCAGGAGGAAGCGCCTGGCTCCTGGCTTCAGAAGCACACTGGCTGTAGCAGCCACTTGGGGGGTGAACCAACAGAAAAAGGAAAATCTTTCTCTCTCTCTCTCGCACTGTCTTACTCTTCCTGTCAAAAAAAAAAAAAAAAAAATGCAGGGACCATTCTATATGGGCACCTGTTGGAGTCCTGGCTCCTTCACTTCCCATCCAGCTCCCTGCTAATGTGCCTGAGAAAGCAGCAGAAGATGCCCCAAGTGCTTGGGCCCCTACACCCATGTGGTACACCTGGATGGAGTTCCAGGCTTCAGTCTGGCCCAGCCTCCAACAGTCATTTGGGGTATAAACCAGCAGATGGACTATCAGAGAGACATTTGTGATCTCCCTCTCTATACATAACTCTATCTTTCAAATAAATAAATACTTTTTTTAAAAAAGCTTATTTAAAAACTTATGGTTTAATTAAAAGGACACTTTGGAACAGCTGAATCAATTCAAAATACATGAGCTGGGCCGGCGCCGCGGCTCACTAGGCTAATCCTCCGCCTAGCGGCGCCGGCACACCGGGTTCTAGTCCCGGTCGGGGCGCCGGATTCTGTCCCGGTTGCCCCTCTTCCAGGCCAGCCCTCTGCTGTGGCCCGGGAGTGCAGTGGAGGATGGCCCAGGTGCTTGGGCCCTGCACCCCATGGGAGACCAGGAAAAGCACCTGGCTCCTGGCTCCTGCCATCGGATCAGCGCGGTGCGCCGGCCGCAGCGCGCCGGCCCCGGCGGCCATTGGAGGGAGAACCAACGGCAAAAGGAAGACCTTTCTCTCTGTCTCTCTCTCTCACTGTCCACTCTGCCTGTCAAAAAAAAAAAACAAACAAACAAACAAACAAACAAACAAAAAAAAAAACAAAATACATGAGCTGATCACCTACTATTGGTATGTTTCCACACTGATTCATATCAGACAATACAAATTCATAACTTCATCACATAGTTCAGGTGAGCATTTTGGACAAGATATGTAGTGTCAGTGTACAAATATTTTTTACATATAGGTAATGCATGTAAATGATACAAAAGGGTGCAATGTAAAAATAGGGCTCCTCCGTACTACAGTTCAGTTAACTTGCAGGGAGAATAATACTTAAGAAATCTCATTCTACCATGTGTGGACTTCATTTGGAGTCAGTTATTTCAAACAAGGTAAAATGGTATTTTCAAATAATCTGGAAAAACTAAACACAGATCCAAATTTTAATAATTATTAGGAATTTATTATTAATTTGGTTGGTTGACATAATAATACTATAAGGTTATATTAAGTAACCATCTGATAGAAGTACATAGAGAAGTACTGATAAATGAAATATCACCTAAGTCATTTTAAAAAATACTACAGCAAAAAATAAAAGATTTTAAAAAACAGGGGTTGGCACTGTGGTGTAGTGGGTAACACTGCCACCTGACAATCTCAGCATCCCACATGGGTGCTGGTTCAAATCTTGACTGCTCCACTTCCAATCCAACTCCCTGCTAATGCACCTGGGAAAACAGCCAAAGGTGGCCAAGTGTTTGGGCCCATGCAAACATGTGGGAAACCCAGAAGAAGCTCCTGGCTCCTGGCTTTAGCCTGGCCCAGCCCTGGTGATGGCAACCATTTGGGGAGTGAACCAGAGGATAGTAGATTGCTCTCTGTCTCTCCCTCTCTCTGTAACTCTGCCTTTTAAATAAATTATATGTTTAAAAAAAAGAAAAGGAAAAAAGAAAAAGAAAAAGAAGGAAGGAAGATAATATGGGCAAGCAAGTAGATAAAATACGAATATCAATAAATTAATGCTTGCTGGAGCCAGAGTAATGGCTATCTCCAGGTTCATAGTGATATTGTTCTTTTTTTAGAGTGTTTGAAAATGCCTATAATAGATTTTAATAATATCTGCTTTCATGGACCTTGCCATACTTATAGTATTCATCTGATATAAATTAATTCTTTTTATAGGTAAAAGAAAAAGTCATATGGAGCTGTAACAAAATTATAAAAAAATTTTTAAGAAAGCTTTTATTTAATGAATACAGTTTACAAAGGTACAGCTTTAGGAATATAGTGGTTCTTCCCCTCATAACCTTTCTCTCACGGCGAATCCTTCCCACCTCCTACTCCCTCTCTCATCCTATTCTTCATTAAGATTCATTTTTAATTAACTCTATATACAGAAGACCAGCTCTATACTAAGTAAAAATTTCAACAATTTGTACATTTTCAACAATTTTGTGTATGTGGGTACATACACAAAAAGTATAAAGTACTGTTTAAAAACAAGTTTTACAGTTAATTCTCATAGTACAACTCGTTAAGGACAAAGGACCTACATGGGGAATTAGTGCACAGTGATTCATGTTGTTAATTTAACAATTAAGACTCTTACATATGATGACAGTGATCACCCGAGGCTCTAGACATGAGCTGTCAAGGCTATGGAAGCATGTTGAGTCCATAAACTGTCAGTATTTTGACAGGGACATAAACAAAGTGGAAGTTCTCTACTCCCTTCTGAGAAAAGTACATCCTTCTTTGATGGCCCCTTCTTTCCACTAGGGTCTCACAGAGAACCTTCATGCAGAACATTTTTTGCCACAGTGTCTTGGCTTTCCATGCCTGAAATGCTCTCATGGGCTTTTCAGCCAGACCAGAATGCCATAAGGGCTCATTCTGAAATGAGAGTGCTATTTAGGGGATTTGTCATTCTATGAATCTGCTGTGTGGACTGCTTCCCATGTTGGAACATTCTCTCCTTTTTAATTTGATCTATTGTTATTATCAGATACTTGTTCTTATTTATGTGATACCTTTGACACTTAATCCTCTCTACATGATCAACTATACACTTAATATGATCACTTTAACACATCAGATGGGATTAGTACCACCTAGATTAATGGGATTTGGAGTCCCATGGCAAGTTTTTTAGCTTTACCCTAAGCGGTAAGTCTGTGGGAATATGTGCTGACTTGTACAGCTCCTCCTTATTCCCATTCTAATTTTTCACTGGGATCAAATTTCAATTGATTTTATACACCTATGATTAATTCTATGTTAAGTAAAGAGTTCAACCAATGGTATTAAGTGGGAAAAAATAAAATAATAAACTGTTCCTCGATAGCCAAGACAAGGGCTGTTCAAGTCGTTGCTTCTCAGAGTGTCAATTTCACTTCTAAAGGTTTCCTATAGGTACTCTGTTCATTGTCACAGATCACAGAGAACAAATGGTATTTGTCCCTTTGGGATTGGCTTGTTTCACTAAGTATGATGTTTTCCAGATTCATCCATTTTGTTTGCAAATGACCAGATTTCTTTTTTTGTTTGTTTGTTTTTTTTACCACTGTGTAGTATTCCATAGAGAATATACCCCATAATTTCTTTATCCAGTATTCCACTGATGGGCATTTAGGTTGATTTCATGTCTTAGCTATTGTCCACTGAGCTGCAAGAAACATGGGGGTGCAGAGAACTCTTTTATTTGTTGATTTCATTTCCCTTGAGTAAATTCCCTTGAGTGGGATGCCTGGGTCATATGGTAGTACTATATTCAGATTTCTGAGGTATCTCCAAACTGTCTTCCATAATGGTTTTACCAGTTTGCATTCTACCAACAGTGGGTTAGGGTACCTTTTCCCCCACATTCTTAGCAGCATTTGTTGTTTTTTTGATTTCTATATGAAAACCATTCTAACTGGAGTGAGGTGGAACCTCATTGTGGTTTTGATTTGCATTTCCCTGATAGCTAGTGATCCTGAACATTATTTCACATGTCTATTGGACATTTGGATTTCCTCTTTTGAAAAATGTCTGTTTTAAGTCCTAGACCCATCTCTTAAGTGGGTTATTTGTTCTGTTGTTGTTGAGTTTCTTGATTTCTTTGTAGATTCTGGTTATTAATCCTTTATTGGTTGCATAGTTTACAAATAACTTCTCACAATCTGTTGGTTGCCTCTTCACCTTCCTGTTTCTTTTGCTGTACAGAAACTTCTCAATTTGATAATTCCATCTGTTAATTTTGGTTTTGACTGCCTGGGCCTTTGGGGTCTTTTCCAAGAACTCTTTCCCCAATGTTCTCTAATAATTTGATGGTGTCGGGTCATAGATTTAGATTTTTAATCCATGGGGGACTTTTGTGTAAGGTGTAAGGTAGGGGTGTTGCTTCATACTTCTGCATGTGGAGATCCAGTTTTCCCAGCACTATAAGTTGAAGAGACTGTCGTTGCTCCAGGGATTGGTTTTAGCTCCTTGGTCAAATATGAGTTGGTTGTAGACGTTGGGATTGATTTCTGATATCTCTATTCTGTTCCATTGGTCTATCCATCTATTTTGTATCAGTACCAAGCTGTTTTGATTATAACTGCCTTGTACTATGTCTTGAAATCTGCTACTGTGATGCATCCAGCTTTGTTTTTGTTGTATAAGGTTACTTTAGCTATTCGAGGTCTCCTGGAACTCCATATGAATTTCAGCATCATTTTTTCTAGATATGAGAAGAATGTGTTTGGTATTTTGATTGGTATCGCATTGAATCTGTAAATTGTTTTTGGAAAAATGGACACAATGATGATATTGACTCTTCCAATCCACGAACATGGAAGATTTTTCCATTTTTTGTATCTTCTTCTATTTCTTTCTCTAATGTTTTGTAATTCTCATTGTGGAGATCTTTGATGTCCTTGGTTAAAATTATTCCAAGGTACTTGATTTTTTTTTGCAGCTATTGTGAATGGGATTGATCTTAGAAGTTCTTTCTCAGCCACGGCATTATCTATGTATATGAAGGTTGTTGGGTTTTGTGTATTGACTTTATATCCTGCTACTTAACCAGACTCTTCCGTGAGTTCCAATAGTCTCTTGGAACATTTTGGATCCCCTATGTACAGAATCATGTCATCTGCAATAGGGATAGTTTGACTTTCTCCTTCCCAACTTGTATCCCTTTGATTACTTTTTCTTGCCTAATGGGCTCTGGCTAAAACTTCCAGGACTATACTGAATAGCAATGGTGAGAGTGGCCATCTCTGGTACTGGATCTCAGTGGGAATGATTCCAATCTCTCCCCATTCAATATGATGCTAGCTGTGAGTTTGTCATAAATTGCCTTGATTGTGCTGAGGAATGTTCCTTCTAAACCCAATTTGCTTAGAGTTTTCATCATGAAAAGGTATGTATTTTATGAAATGCTTTCTCTGCATCTGTTGAGATCACTGTAGTTTTTTTCATTATGTGCTGTTTTTTCACCAGTTTGTTAATGTGATGTATCACACTGATTGATTTGTGAATGTTGAACCATCCCTGCATACCAGGGATAAATCCCACTTACAGTGGATGGAAGAGCTCTCTGTCTCTGTTTCTCTCTGAAACTCTGCTTTTCAAATTAATATTTTAAAAAATTTTTAAAAATAAGAAACTGGAAATTTTAAGTGTAAAAAAATAGAGGTATACATTTGTTCTTCAGCTTTAAGAATCCAAATAATTTAGTAACACATACCTTCCATAATATGATAATATTCAGATCCACCTCACTGCACTTTTGAATCAGTCTCACAGCATCCTCTGCTGATCGTTTTTCTGGGTGCATAGACAACTGAACTTGTGGTTTTTTCAAGTCCGAGGATAAACTTCGATAAAAGAAGTCTGCACATGGACTTGCTGAACTTATTATCTGTTGAAAGAAGTAACTTATCTAAGTGAGCTATCAATTTATTTTGTCACATATATTTAGTCTCAAATTCTGACAAAATTCATATTTTAGTACACTTACATAACTTGCCTGAAAGTATTCCAAGAGAAACATGATAAAAATCACAACCTTAATGTAATTTAGTAGTGTTGCTGATATTTCTAGAGATGTAAGAATTTTTTTTAAAAGAAATAAACAAAACAGATAACTAAAGTCCTTAAAGCTAAATTCAACCATTCAAGAATCAGAGTATCTTCAAAAGTCCTACGTGTGTGGGAATCACTGGGCTTCTGGAGCTGCTTCCTCAAATGATCAACTGATAATCACAATGTGAAAAGTGAAAAAGTGTATAAGTACAGTTTGTAAGTACAGTTTTAATTATCAAGAAGAGCACAAACAAGGTGGTATCCTGCCGCTTGGAAATAATTACATGGACTTTTACACACTATGTTCAGTATTTTTGAAAATAAGTCCCCAGTGAATCTCAGATGACCTGCAGGGCTAGTTAAAAATACATACTCCCTATCTCTACCCAAGATATAATAAACCAGAGTTCTAGAGGTGAAAGGGCGAAGCCTGTATTTTTACAAAACCCTCCAGATGTAGGTCCTTAATACTCAAAACTAGGATTTGCAGACTAACAAACACCTAAATCTTACTGGGGTTGATTGTAACAATTTAGAACATCGGATTCTATCCCACTTAAACTAAATCAGAATTTGCATTTTATAACAAAATGTCCAGTGACTTAAATGTACATTTTTTGAGAATTTGAAAACACTGTTCTAGGTGATTCTTGTGCCTAGCTTATCATTTGGGCCTCAGAACCACAAGATATACCAAAATCCACATAGTTTTAACAGCTAGATGTTTACTCTGATCATTTTCTGAACTAAAAGGAAAGCTCCCCTAAATAATCCTTTTTTAATTTCAAGAAGTATACTTATTTCACATGACAGACTCAAAAGAAAGTTAACTTTAAATAATTAATTAAATAGTATAGTCCACATCCTATTTTTGGTTTGTTTAGGGGATGGACATAGAATGCAAACTCAACAAAGATATTCATCTTCCAGAGACTGAAAATTACAAAAGCTATAGGTTCCAAAAACAATCAGATATTCCAGAACAACTTTGAAATAAATCAACCACTATTGTGCTTATTTGCATACCTGTTCATTTCCAAAGATGATATCTGCAAAAGTATACTTTTCTGAGGACTGCATATTAGCTAAAAAACAGGAGAAAAAAATAATGTACCACTGACATAAAATACAAAATGGTCATTTAAGAAAGTATGAAAGCAAAATAAGTTTACCTTCTTTTTCCTTACATCTTATTGCCTTGAAGCAAAACTTTCCTTTCTCCCTACTGGCAAGTTTGGCGTCTAGAAAAAAAAATTTTCAAAAATGTTTCTCAGTTTATGACAAGGTAAAACTGAACTCATTATTCCAATTTTTTTGGTCAAGCTGGAAAATAATTTACTGAGTATAATAGTGTTTAATAAAAAACATCTTTACTTTCATCTCAATGAAACAAATGTTTACAAACATCTTAAAAAAGACAAACTTCAATTTTCTCAAGATACTCATATATTATCTGTGTGTGCATATATTTATAAGGATACTTCAAAAAGTTTGTGGAAAATAATTAAAAGATGTTGATTTTGGCACAAAAATTTCAAATTCATGGATATATGGGATCTTAAAATCTTTGTGAAAATTTGGATGGGTGACAAAGCAGCATGAATTCCAAAATTTTTATACCAAACTAAACTTATCTTTTAATTCAATTTTTCCACAAACTTTTAAGTACCTTATGGGTCTATTTCATTCCAGATTAAAAAGAAGCTTCAAAGATAAAAACTTTGGGGCTTCAGCCCAATCCCACCATTCTGTCATTTGTTTCTTCTTAGAAAGTTGTAATAGATATGATTTATACCAATATTATTATATGCACATACTTTGCTATTGTGCATTTTTCCATTATGGCAGGCAATGAAAAAATGTTAATACATGTATATTTTAACAACTGAAAGAATCTGAATTATAGCATAATTTACATTAAAACTATACTGAATTTTCCCCTATAAACATAACAGTGTAATAAACTTCAGAGAATATATACATTTTCCCATATTTTGAGTTAATTCCCTTCCATAATATCCAAAAGTAAGGATTAATGTGAGGTTAAGGGTTTAAATATTTTATGTCTTTTGAAAAAAAATCACACAATTCTTGTCCAGTAAGAGGACAAGTATCATTTTTTCAGTTTCACCTCAATCTTACAACTGCTGCCTCCCTGGGTGCAAATTATTAACAGGGTGCAGAGCCAGGAATAAAACCTGTACAACTGATAATAGGATCTGAGCATACCAAGCAACATCTGAACCACTGGGCCAAATGCCCACCATATTTGAATTTTTGACAGTGATCATATGACTCACTGATTTTACAAATTAAAAAAAAAAAAAGAAAAAAAAGTGCAAGGGAATAAAAATATGGGAAAGACTGGATCAAGATAGGTGATTTAAAGTCACATAAACTAATGAAAATGTAAGGTACCAATAATCTTATAATCTGGCACTAAAGCAGTGAAGATGTCAAATTTATTTTTAAAAAAAAGGGGGAAAAAGCCACAAACCTTTGTTTTCTGAGAGATTTACAGATTTATATAATTTCCAGTGTTTGCTGCTACTTGATACTTGTACTATATGGAATTCCTTAACACCTGCTTCACTCTGTCAAAAAGAGATGTGAGTCATTTGGAATTTAAGAACAATAAATCAGAATATTCCAATGAGGACAAAAGTCATACATTACAAAGTCAGTATCAATTAACATAAGATAAAATTTGTAATTTGAAAAAAGTAACAATACATATTTCAAGAGGTTTGGGCAATTTAACTATCTCTCTAAATATTCTTAAAAAACAGAAATTGGGGCCGGCACTGTGGTGTAGCAGGTAAAGCCGCTGCCTGCAGTGCCAGCATCCCATATGAGCGCTGGTTCAAGTCCCGGCTGCTCCTCTTCCGATTCAGCTCTCTGCTATGGCCTGGGAAAGCAGCAGAGGATGGCCCAAGTCCTTGTGCCCCTGTACCCGCGTGGGAGACCTGGAAGAAGCTCCTGGCTTCAGATCAGTGCAGCTCCAGCTGTTGTGGCCATTTGGGGAGTGAAACACTGGATGGAAGACTTTCTCTGCCTGTGCCTCTCTGTAACTCTGCCTTTCAAATAAAATAATTTTTTTAAAAAAAGATAAATCAACATTTAACCCAAGAAGTATTTTTTCCCCTTATCTGAGAGCAGACAAGAGAGAGAGGTTTGGGTGGTGGGGAGGAGGGTTTGGAGACAGATAAGCAATGACAGAGGCTGGGCCATTCTTGAGCATATAACTCAGTCTAGATCTCTCAGTTAGGTGGCAGGGACTCAAGTACTTGAGCCATCACCTGCATTAGCAGGAAGCTAGAATTGGGAGGGGAGGTTGGACTTGAACCTAGGCACTCTGATGTGGGATGCAGGCATTTCAAATGGCCAATTAATCGCTACACCAACTGCTGCTCCCCAAAATCTCAGTTAGATTGAAATTATTACCATATGGGGCTACTTGTCCTATAATATGTAGCATATTAATACTAGCAGATCCTTTTATTTTAAGAGTATGAAGAATGAAATTACAAAATTAATGGAGACATAAGATGGTATCACATTATTTTAGTTTCTATTCTTTTGTGACAGAAAAAGAAACTGTTAAGAACAAAGGAAACACTTCAGACATAATTAAAAACCAACTTACAGTATTGGTATTCTCCACATCCACAAAGACTAGCATATTGCCTCCTTTGCCTTCTTCATCAAGAGAATTACTTCTGCAGACAGTGGCTCGTACATTCAAAGATCGGCTGGTACAAATAACTGCAGTGTGTCTTAATATTCTGTGCCTAAAGAAAAGTTAAAAACAAGACCAAAAAAGAGTTTATTCTAAGATCCTCTCCGTATGTTCTGATTCTCTAATTCCAAATAAAAATTTTAAAAAATGGATGAATCTGGTGAGCATCTGGCCTAGCATTAAGATGTGGGTAAGAATACAGGTTTTCTGAGTCTCAGCTGATTCCCAATTACAGCTTCCTACTGTTGCAGACCCTGGGAGGAAGAGGTGATGGCTCAAGGACTTGGGTTCCTGCCTCCTATGTGGGAGACCTGGATTGACTTCCTGGCTCCTAGCTTCAGCCCAGTCCAGCTTCAGCCACTGCAGATTTGGGGAGTGAAACAGTGGACGGGAGCACTGTCTGCCTCTCAAATTAAAAAAAAAAAAAAAAAAAAAAAAAAGATACAATAAAGTAAAATGAAGTAAAAACCTAAATCCAGTTCTACTCCTTCTCTATTTGGAAGGCAACTGTAAGTCTCCCTGACTCTGGGCATTTTCTCTGTACATCAAACTCATCTATATAATATATGAAATAACCTTTCATATAGTAATGTCTTGATTAGGTCTCTTCTCTGATAGTATTTCCAAAGTTACTGAACAACCACAAAATATACTCCAGCCTTTAACCTGGCATTCAAAGCTCTCTACCATATAACTTTATATTGCAAAGGTTCATTCCCCCTTTACTTCTTTCACAGAGATTTTACACCATGGCTGAACTGTATTTATTTTATGTTGCCTAACTTGTAAATCTTTGTTCATAAACACACCCACTCCCTGGAGTACCCACTCCTCTACTGACTATCTTCATGATAGCCAAATTCTGAAATGTTCACTCTCCTTGGAGGAAGCTCATTTTACTACCACCAGAGTCAACAAAGCTTTCCCTGAATGGGCCAGAGTACTCCCTCTCTCTATCATCTTCTTAAGGAGAATTAACATTTACTGAAGTACTAAACCATACTCAGTACTTAAAAATATTATCTCATTTTGCCTTTCTGTAAGTTTTAGAAGACATTTTATTTAGATATTTCATTAAGTAAAATAATCATAGTACAATTACTGCTAGCTAATTCTCTAAAATTGACAGTAGTGTTATCACTGTATATTCTGCTGTACAATAAATAGGCTACAGATCCTGCTATGAGCCAGGCAAATTTGATTTCTTCAATGATTAACCACTGTAACACCAGCATGTTCTGCAAATACACACATTTTTTTCATATATTCTCAGAGAAGGGAGGACATAAAGGAAAAGGAAAGGTATAATAATTTTCTTTAAAAAGAATGAATATAGGCAAGTTGTCTTTAACATATAAATGATACTGTTTTAATACATGGTGCATGTTAATTTCATTATCATCTGATGACTGGCCACAACACTTAGTCATATCTTCATTAAATTTATAGATAGAAGCAACTAAAGTTAAATTTTTTCCACTTTCAGCTACCTAGAATTTATAGTTATATTCAGGACAATCTTAGATATGTATAATTTGCAAGGAGTAATTTCTTGATACATAATGATATATATTAATGAATATCAAAATGTTCACTTGAAGATATGTACATATATTGAACATAAATGTTAAATCAAAAATATTTTATAATACTCACCGTATTTTAGGCTGCCTTTTGACACTTTCATAGTAAAACAAAAAGTTAATTTCATGGACACCTTCTTCATCTGGCCCACGTAACCACATTGGTAGCTGAACTGAAGCTCCAGGTAGAAGAACAGCATCAGGAAGGGGAACAGGAATCACCTCTGGCTGACTTCCTATGCCAATGTCAAAGTCTACAGAAGAAGCTGATGATATGAGTGCTGTACACACAGAGGTAGAATCTGTCACAACAGTCTTGTAAGCACTACAGTTTTCAGAAGCTGAGGGACTTAGTGGTGTTAGAACAGCAGTATTACCACCGAAAGTAAAGAACTCTGGACGTTTAGAAACAACCTTCAATCCAGTAAGAGGGCATTTGCTGACATTGACAAATTCTACATATGCTTTTCGGATTTCTCCACAGAGGAGCCCTGTAGGAAAATGTATAAAAAACACCTGCATTGGAGGGAAAAAATATTATTATATTGTCTGTCAAAATTTCTGAACCTCTAATGAAAAAATGTTAATATGCTATATTTCTTAACTAAAAGTTTGCAAGTATTTCATTAATTGTCTTGAGTAAATATCACTTTACAACTCCATTTCAGAAAACACAACACAGGAAGACAAATGTTTCTCTGCCACTCAGATTTTGGAATTATGAACTGAAGGCAAAAATACCAATTACAAGAGGACTAATATTAAAACATTCACTACTTTGTAGATTAAACATGGCTCTATGGGTAATTATCAGAAGTCTTAAAACCTTTATCATTGTCAACTTAAGAAGTAGATCAACTATTTATTTTCACATTAAGATGAAAGGATACAACACGGGTGTTAAAGGAAAATGTGCAGACTCATGACCCCATTAACTATGATTTTAAAATCCAACCAGCTTTCGGTCACTTCAGGCTTGCATGTAAGGGCAAAACTTCACCTGATTAATGATTTTTTATAGTCTTTCCCAGTTAAGTCTGATATTCAAATAGCTCACTCAAGAAATATTAATGTGTTTCATTATCAGGTACTGCCACAAACTGGCAGGGGTTAAATAACACTTCACACATACTTCCAAAAATTGTTTTTCAAAATTGACTCCTAACACTTGGTTTTATGATCTCAGGCAACAGATAGAGGAATTATACTAAACAGGTAAAAATCTGGACTAACAAAATTACCCAGTAAGTGACCTACATTTAAAAGATCCTTACAGAGGCTGGCATCGTGGCACAGTTAAGCTGCTGCCCAGGACACCAGTTTGAGTCCCGGCTATTCTATTTCTTGTTTTTTGTTTTTGTTTTTTAAAGACTTATTTATTTATTTGAAAGTCAGAATTACACAAAGAGAAGGAGAAGGAGAGGCAGAGGCAGAGGCAGAGGAAGGGAGGGGGAGAAGGAGAGGGAGAGGGAGAGGGAGAGGGAGAGAGGGAGAGAGGGAGAGAGGGAGAGAGGGAGAGAGAGAGGGAGGGAGGGAGGGAGGGAGGGAGGGAGGTATTCCATCCACTGGTTCACTCCCCAATTGGCTGGAGCTGCGCTGATCTGAAGCCACAATGAGGAGCCTCTTCTGGGTCTCCCACATGGGTGCAGGGGCCCAAGGTCTTGGGCCATCTTCTACTGCTTTCCCAGGCCATAGCAGAGAGCTGGATCAGAAGTGGAGCAGCCAGGACTCCCAACTGGTGCCCATATGGGATGCTGGCACTGCAGGCGGCGGCTTTACCCGCTATGCCACACTGCCGATCCCTGGCTGTTCTATTTCTGATCCAGCTCCCTGCTAATGTGCCTGGGAAAGCAGCAGAAGATGGCCTGTGTTTGGGCCCCTGTAACCCATGTGGGAGACTTGGATGGAGTTTGACTCCTGGCTTCAGCAAACCCCAGCTGCAGCCATTGAGGCCACTTGGTGAGTGGACCAGCAGATGAAAGATCTCTCTGTAACTCTGCCTTTGAAAAAAATAAGAAAATCTTTAAAAAAAAATTCTTTACACTTAAGTATCACAACTATGCGGACAGTATCCAAGGAAGGAGAAATACAAGTATAAAAACAACAATATGGGGCCAATGCTGTGGCATAATAGGTTAAGCCTCCACCTGCGGTGCTGGCATCCCATATGGGTGCCAGTTCGAATCCCGGCTGCTCTACTGCTAATCAGGTGCATGCTAATAGCCTAGGAAAGCAGAAGGAGATGGCCCAAGTGCTTGGGCCCCTGCACTCATGTGGGAGAACCGGAAGTTGTTACTGGCTTTGGATTGGCCCCGTTCCAACCGCTGCAGCCATCTAGGGAGTAAAACAGTAGAAGGAAGACCCCTCTCTCTGTTTCTCCCTCTGTAACTGTCTCGCAAATATATAAATAAATCTTAAAAAAAAAAAAAAAAACCACGAGGGAAAATGTCCTAATAAACAGCTGACAGTCCCAAGGGATTTACAACATTCTGGTGCAAACATCCAGTGATTTTTTTTTTAATTTAAACCTAAATGGGACTTGATTGTAGCCATATTCTTTTTTTTTTTTTTTTTTTTTTTTTTTTTTTTAAGATTTATTTCAAAGAAAAAGAGAGAAGGAAAGACAAAAAGAGAGGTCTTCCACCTGCTGGTTCACTCCCCAAATGGCTGCAATAGAGAGGACAGGGCCAGGCTGAAGCCAGGAGCCAGGAGCTTCTTCCAGATTTCCCATGTGGATGCACAGGTCCAAGCACTTGGGCTGTCCTCTGCTGCTTTCCCAAGCACATTAGCAGGGAGCTGGATTGGAAGTGCAGCAGCTGGGACTCAAACCAGCTCCCATACTGGATGCCAATGCTGCAGGCAGTGGCTTAACCCACTACACCACAACACCCATCACTATAGCCATATTCTTAAGGAATCAGATAAACTTTGGTGAAACAGGTAAGAGGGAGTAGATGTTTGATACAGCAGTTCAGAAGGCACTTGGACACCATAACTGGAGTGCTTGAGCTCAAAGTTCTAGCTCCACTTCCAATTTCAGCTTTCTGTTAATGCACACCATGTGAGGCAGCAGATGATGGCCCCTAGGAGGTGGGTCCCTGCCATCCACATGGAAGATCTGCATTGAGTTCCAGGATCCTGGCTTTACCCTGGCCCAGCCCCAGCTACTGAGGACATTTGAGGAATGAACTAGCAGATGGAAGATATCTCTTGCTCTCTGCCTTTCAAAAAAAAAAAAAAAACTGTAATAATAAAAAAAGAAAATGGATATTAGAAAACACAAACTGAATGAAGAAAACCAAAAGATAGGAAAAAATAAACCTTACATAGCATTATACTGAAGATATTTATCCTGCACTAATTAATCAATATCAAATAAGTTAAAATTTGTGGGAGAATATCAACTTTGAGATGTTACATCCGAGAGTTGCATTATTACAGAGTATAGACATCCTAAAACACAGAGACAATTGATGCCAAGAAGACTATGGCATTAATAAAGTAGGAAGAGTTATAGATTAAAAGACCAGTGAAACAAAATGTGTACTGATCATGTGTATCTTAAGAATACACATTTTGGGAGTTGGTGTTAAGGTGCAGATTAAGCCACTGCCTGCAATAACAATATCCCATGAGAGTCCCAGCTGCTCCATTTCCAATGCAGCTCCCTGATAATGTGCCTAAAAACAGAGGAAGATGGACCAAGTACTTGTGGCCCCACCATCCACCCGTGTAGGAGACTCTGACAGGAGTTCCAAGCTCCAGGTTTTGTGGCTCAACCCCTGGCCATTATAGCCATTTAGGGAGTGAACTGGCAGATGGAAGCTCTCTGTCTCTCCCTCTCACTCTGTAACTCTGCCTTTCAAATAAGTAAATCTTTTCTTAAAAAAAAAAAAAAAAAAAAAAGGGATAGCTTTCATCTGTAGAAAAAAAAATCTATACATATATTGCACTTAGACTATTTGACAATTGTCTTTAGATTCTCACTCTGAAGAAACCAAAACTGGAAACTTAAGTCACAAGGATGTGGTTTAATGCATGAAAGACAAAATGAAACTTGTACTAGAAATCTACCCCAACATTCACAGAAAATGCCTCCATCCTAAATATATTCTTTGCAATAGTAAATAAATGTACATTTGTATATTGTAAGGAAAAATCTTTAGGATATAGATACGTCCATTTTTTTTTTTTTTTTGGCCCTTCAGTTTACAACCTTTTTTATTTAATCAACAAAAACATTACTTGTTATGTTGCAACAAGAAGTTCTCTGTTCTAGAATACCCTCTTCCAGAATTGCAACCATAACAACAAAAACTTTTTAAAACATTTATTTATTTATTTGGAAGGTAGAGTGACAGGCAAAGATGGAGAGGGAAAGAGAAATGTTCTATATTCTGGTTCACTCCTCAAAGGGCTGCAACAGCCAGGGCTGGACCAGGCTGAAGCCAGGAGCCAGGAACTCCATCCTGGGTCTGCCACATGAGTGGCAGGGGCCTGAGCACTTAGCCATCTTCTGCTACCTTCCCAGCTGCATTAGGAAGAAGCTGAATCAAAAAGGAGGCAGCTGGGACTTGAGCTGGCACTAGGATATGGATGCCAGCATCATAAGCTGCAACTTAATCCACTGGACCACAAAGGCAGTATCATAAAATTTTTTTAAAAACTATGATTTGCAGAAAGCAAAGTTAAATGCAGAATTACCAATATCAACAACAATATTAATGGATTAACGCATATTTAAATACTGATGAGTTCAACAGAGTTTAAAATCAGATATCATCTGGTTCAACTTTCCCCATTTTATAAGTGAAGATAAGGCTTACTCTAAAATTGAGCTCTGTTCATAGCAGTGTACTATCTGTAAGGCACTCACATAAAAATCATTTTTACATTTAGCAATCTTAGTTATCTGAAGAACATCTAAATGATAAGGCTTAGTGGAAATTGTAAGGTAACAGAACCATTAAAAACTGCATATTTGGGGTAGGTGTTGTTGCCACTGCTTACAACACATGTACAGCCTATGTCAGAGGGCCAGCTCGAGTCTCGACTACTCCGCTTCTGATCTAGCTTCCTGCTAATTTGTCTGGAAGGCAGCATATTAATGGCCCATGTACTTGAGCCATGTGGGAGATGTGGATGGAGTTCATGTCTCCTGGCTTTGGTCTGGCCCAGCCCTCCCTGCTGTGGCCATTTGGGGAATGAACCAGTGGATGGAAGATCTCTCGTCTCTCCTCTCTCTGTTACCCTGCCTTTCAAATAAATAAAAATAAATTTAACTGCATATTTTGGTGTCTTCTACTGATAAAATTACAACTTCACAGGGATCAGAAAAATTTTCCATTTTGAAAATAAGCTTTCATTGGAGCCAGCGCTGTGGCGTAGCAGGTTAACGCCCTGGCCTGAAGCGCCAGCACTGCATATGGGTGCTGGTTCTAGTCCTGGCTGCTCCTCTTCTTATCCAGCTCTCTGCTATGACCTGGGATAGCAGAGGAAGATGGCCCAGGTCCTTGGGCTCCTGCACCCGCGTGGGAGACTTGGAAGAAGCTCCTGGCTCCTGGCTTCAGATTGGCACAGCTCTGGCCCTTGTGCCCATCTGGGGAGTGAACCAGTGGATGGAAGACCTCTCTGTCTCTACCTCTCTCTGTGACTCTGTCTTCCAAATAAATAAAAACAAATCTTAAAAAAAAAAAAAAAAGAAAAGAAAAGAAGCTCTCATAAACTGCTACATACACAATTCCAAACAAAATGTTTATTAGTTATTTCCAAACTATAATGGGGATTAGCACTCAAATAACATTTCAACTCATCTTCAGTCTCTTAACTCCTAGCAATAGCACTGCAATCCTAATCAAAATCATTATTGTGAGAACTTGACAAACTTGGATAGAAATGACACAGGATGGGGAAAAAAAAGAAAAAGTTACGAGAGGGACCTGACTTGCCATATTAAAAATAAAATGATAAGGCAACAGTATGGTGTTGATATAAAATGCAAAGAGGAAACAATATCAAACAATAGGCAGCATACAAAAAACAAACAAGTATAGGTACTTCAGGATATTAGTATAAAAGCAAGATGGCATGAGTTGTTTATAGCCTAAAATGGTATTGGGACTTAGAAACAACAAAATAAAAAATTATCAGATGGGACTTGAAATCTTGGGGGCTGAGTTGGTATAGTGGTGTAGCAGGTAAAGCCTCTGACCTGCAACATAGGCACCAGTTCACTGCTTCACTTCTGATCCATCCACATTCCTTCTAAGGGCTTGGGAAAAGCAGAGAAGATGGCCCAAGTGCCTGGGCCCCTGTCACCATTGTGGCAGACCCAGATGAAGCTCCTGGTTCCAGGCTTCTGCAGGCCCAGTTATGTAAGATCGATCTCTCTCTCTCATACACACACACCAGGTTAAGCCATCGCCTCAATGCCAGCATCCCACATAAGCACCGGTTAAAATCCCAGCTGTTCCACGTCCAATTCTGCTCCCTGCTAATGTGCCTGGGAAAGCAGTCAAAGACAACCCGAGTACTTGGGCCCCGCTACCAACGAGGGAGACCTGGATGGAATTCTATGCTCCTGGCCTCAACCTGACCCTGTACTGGCCACTGCAGCCATTTTGGGAGTGAACTAGGTGATGGAACTTTCTGTGTCTTTCCCTCTCTCTGTAACTCTGGCTTTCAAATCAATAAAATTAATCTTTAAAATAAAATCTCAACATGATAAGAGACACCAAATTGGGGCTGACATTGTGGCACAATGGGTTAAGCTGTCACCTGCAACACTGGCATCTCATATGAACACTGGTTTAAGTCCCAGCTTCTCTACTTCTGATCAATATCCCTGCTAATGTGCCTGACAAAGCAGCTGAAGACGGCCCAAGTGCTTGGGCCCCTACACCCATACAGGAGACCCAGATGAAGCTCTTGTCTCCTGGCTGTGGCCTAACCCCAGTTCTGGCTGTTGTAGCCATTTGGGGAGTGAAAGGATGGAAGATCAATCTCTGCCTGTGTCTCTCTTTCCCTAACTATAACTTTCAAATAAATAAAATAAATCTAAAATAAAATGCACACATATACAAGAACTACAAAAAGTTTATTTTAAAATAAAAGAGAGACACCATATCAAAATCACAATATGTACAAAATACTTGTCAATCAGAAAGCAGCACTCAGGTCCTTCTCTTAAGTCTTTTATCTGCTCTATAGAATTCTTCAAATGTGCAACAGAATTCAGCAAGTGTCAAACTGGGCAAAATGCATATAACTCAACACACACACCACCTAGCACTGTTCTCATGAGTGATCTACCCTACCGCTATAGTCACAGATTACTGAAATCATCCAGTAAGAAAAAAAAAAGGAAATAATATCCAATTATAAGAGTATAAACAGGCAAACATTTGGACATACAGAGGGAAAATATCATACGGACAAAAAAAGGCTGGTCAAAAAAATAAAAACATTGTCATCTCACACCAATCTTACTTGAAAAAGTTTATTAAAAAAACCTGAAAGTATCCATTATGGTATAGATTTGAAGTAATGGGCATACTCATTATAAAGATAAGTGAAAATTACAATAGCCTTGCTGAAGGTAATTTTGTAATACGTTGCAAGACTGAAAATTTACACACCATTGATCCAGTAATTCCATTTCTAAAATGTAGTCTAAAATGGAATATGGATAAAACATACACATAATGATGTTTACTGCAAAACTATTTATAATGATGAAAAACAGAACCATACCCATTGAAATATAAAGTGTGAAAATACGGTATACTCAGCCGGCGCCGCGGCTCAATAGGCTAATCCTCCACCTGCTGCACCGGCACACCGGGTTCTAGTCCTGGTCAGGGCGCCAGATTCTGTCCCCGTTGCCCCTCTTCTAGGCCAGCTCTCTGCTGTGGCCAGGGAGTGCAGTGGAGGATGGCCCAAGTGCTTGGGCCCTGCACCCCATGGGAGACCAGGAGAAGCACCTGGCTCCTGCCTTCGGATCAGCGCGGCGCGCTGGCTGCAGTGCGCCGGCCGCGGCGGCCATTGGAGGGTGAACCAACGGCAAAGGAAGACCTTTCTCTCTGTTTCTCTCTCTCACTGTCCACTCTGCCTGTCCAAAAAAAAAAAAAAAAAAAAAAAAAAGGAAAATATGGTATACTCAAATAAAAGGAAAACCAAAAGCAACTGGTAAAAAAAGTATTTTTATTGACTGAAAAAAAAAAACGTTGTTAAAGACACAAAGGAAGTTAACAGGATAAAACAGGTACTACAATTCTACTTATAATCACTAAAATTATCTATATGTAAGTACACAATGAAAGGTCTGAAAAGTTACACACCAATTATTATCACTGGTACATTCTGGAGGTAGGTTGCTATGCTGAAAATTCCCCTTCTAGGAAACCTGAAGATGAAGGAGAATGGGCCTTCTTGCAGTGCTCATGCTTACATGATACAACCCTGCCTTTGGTTTGCCTCTCACATAGATTCCTGATCCAAAGATGGTCAAATTCTCTTCCAGAAACTCAAAATCTGAAGTGGTACAAAGGTAGAGTTTTTGAACTAAGGCCATATCCAAGCAATTTTTCTAGAGGTTTAGTTAGAAACATTTGCTCATAAACTCCCTGGAGTTTCAAATCCTTTCTCTTCTTTGAGACTTGTTCTGTAATACTTCAGTTTCCATGGACTATTCCAATATCCTTCTAATCAACAGTTCCTTTTCTCTTTCTCTGGTTATACTACCTAGTATTAGCTTCTATCTTTTGTAACTAAAAGATCTCCAATTCAGATAGTACGAAAGTAATAAAGGGAGCTGGTGCTATAGCACACTGGGTTAAGCCATGGGCCACAGGGACGGCATCCCATATGGCCGCTGACTTGAGTACCAGCTGCTCTACTTCTGATCCAGGTTCCTGCCAATGCACCTGGGAAAGCAGTGGAAGATGGCCTGAGTCCTCGGGCCTCCGCACCCACATGGGAGACCTGGAAGAAGCTCCTGTCTCCTGGCTTTGGCCTGACACAGCCTTAGTCATTGCAGCCATTTGGGGAGTGAACCAGAAGATGGAAGATCTCTCTCTCTCTCTGCCTCTTGTCTCTCCTTTTCTTGCTGTGTAATTATCTTTCAAATAAATAAATCTTTTTTTTTTTAAAAGTAATGGGGTAGGATAAGAGGGTAAAAGAAATAATTGTTTTATTCATATACTTCCATAATGCCTGAAATTTTTACAAGTATTCATTCACATATTTTTAGAATTATAATAAAAAGAGATACTGATTTCAATAACCACCATGTTCTTTTAGAAGTGTTTCCCAAATTTTCATTGATATTTTGAGAGTTACTGGCTGTGACTTAATGCCAATTTGTGTGACTACCTTATTCTTGTGAGTCTCTATTAAACACTAGCTTAACAACAAATATATGATTCAATGTAATATCACCAGCCTCAAATTCTAAAATTAATTTATTCAAAATATAATCAATAAGCCCAGGAAAATGTAAAACTCAAAATACCTCCAAGAGTGGCATTTCTTCAGTGATTATGGGGTCTAATCGTCGATCGGGCCCATATTTAATAGATGTTTTCTCTTCTTTTGTGTTGTTAAGCCGAGGGCCTTGAATTTCTAAATCCTGTCTCCCTCGGACTGACATACTCAAGGAATGTTTTCCTGAAATGAAGAGTAACCAATGTTTAAAGTAATTTGGCATGTTAACTGACATCAATTTAACTTAAATATATAAATTTTGTTTCAAATAATTTCTAGAAAAATTTTAGATAATACAACTAATAAAAAATTTAAAAAGAAATAAAAAAGTAAATATATATTAACTCCATATTTAATATAACCTGTGATATGCTGCTTAATTTCTCATTTTGGATATACTTATATTGCCGAAAGATTACACATCACTAAATGGGAAATCCTTTGAAACCTATATTTAACCATAATACCTATTAACCAGAAAGATCTGAAAGAACTGCTATCTGGACACAGACCAGGAGAAGAGATACATGTTTTCAAATGAAAAAATATTCAAAACACTGAATAGGTCAACTTTTCACTTTTACTCACATTCAAATATACAAGGGTGTGAATTATTTCTGGATTATAAATAACTAAATCTTCTCAAGTGACTCCACAAAGAACATTAAATACTATATAGGTAGTTTTTCAAAATTTAGCTTATTTAACATGTATATGAGATTTTCCCCCAAAAGCTTCCATTCAGTACATATGCATGTGAAAAAGGTAGGGTATGCAACACTTTCCAGAAAGACAACTCATAGCCTTTAATGTGCTGAAGGCCACTGTGAAGATCCCAGATCACGTAAGTATAATACTTTCATTCCCCCCACTTCATCAGACCCAAATCCCTACTAGCATTTTACATAATAATGAATTACTCCAAACACCAAAAAAAACCTCTGCATACAGGATTTAATAGTTCATTCAGGGTCTCCTTGCAATAATATTACATAATAACATACAAATTATGGCACTAATGCACATATTTGCTATCTTAAATGAAACAATTACTACTTTTTATTGACAACCTTAACTCTGTGGAACCAGATGGATAATCTAGTTAAAGATAAATGAGAAAAGGAACTTCAAAAAGTTCTTAACAGAGTGTACATGTGTGTATGCCCACGTTCTATATCAGAGTGTTTACGATCAAGTCCACCTCCACTTTTGATTCAGCTTCCTGCTAATATACAGGAAGGCAGAAGATGATGGTCCAAGTATTTGGGTTTCTGCCACCCAAGTGGGAGACCCAGACATTAGCCTGGCCCAGTCCCAGTTGTTGTAGGCGTTTGGGAAATCAAGCAGCAGATGTAAGAGCGATCTCTGTCTTCTTTCTCTCCCATATTACCCTCTTCCTGCCCCCTTTCTGTCACCCAGCCTTTCAAATACATAAATACAACTTTAAAACAAAAAAGGTTCTTAATATCCAGTTATCTTGCTTTAAAAACAAACTAAATTAGCAGGAGTGTTTCTAAATAAATCATATCTAGCACTCATCAACCAAGTAATACTAATATAGTACTAAAATGCATATTACTATACTCAATTTTAATGAAATTTTTCTTTATAGTCTTTTAATTCTCATGAATTCGTTTCACTTTAAAAAATTGTATTGAATTATCCTAGCTAAGTAAGCAACTAGAAATATTCAACTGAAGATTGATCAACACATCTTTCAGTGTTCTAGAAGACTTTTCAATATTAATAACCAGCTTTTGTTACGAAATTCATGTCTATCAATGACTAGTCACCTTAATATGTTACAAAACAAGATACATCTAATAAAATGAAGGACTAAAAGTAGACGGATTTATAGTAAACTTCCCATCCTGGCATCCTGTCAACCTAACCTCAAATAATTATACATATAAATTCAAGGAAATCTTAGATCTGGAAGGGTTCCCTGAATTTAAAAAAATTTAAAAGTGAACTTTGTTAAATATGTATTACTATATCTTATAGTTTCAAAAATTTGTAAAACACACTGCCTAGGGCACCAAGAATATCAGATAACCCTAAAGAATTACTCTCTTTACATATCTGATGATGGAATTTAAAGTATCTAACAACCAATAATATGGAAAACATTGATCTTAATTAAATTTGTTCCATATTTTATAAGAAGGAAATATTCAAAAAGTAGAATATGTTATGGTGTTTTTTGTTTTGGCAGGAGACATCTCAATCGATGGTTAGAATTTACTAAATTTGGACTAATAACCTTATGTAGAGCTTAAGAATTACCAAAGGCAATGTATCAGAAGGAAATAAAGTTGTTTATTTTTAAAGCTATGGCAGAGGTTAAAATAATCTAATTGGGTTGGCACTGTGGCAGAGTGGGTAAAGCTCCGGCTTATAACACCAGCATCCTATGGGTGCCGGTTCATGTCCCAGCTGTTCCACTTCCAATCCAGCTTCCTGATAATGGCCTGGGAAAGCAGTGGAATATGACCCAGGTACTTGAGCTGCTGATACCCACATGGAAAACCTGGAAGAACATCCTGATTCCTTGCTTCGGCCTGATCCAACTCTGGCCATTGTGGCCATTTGGGGAGTAAACCAGTGGATGGAAAATCTCTCTTTCTGTCACTCCCTCTTTCTATGTAACTCTTTCAAATAAATAAATAAATAAATCTTTTTTTTTAAGAAATCTAAATTAGTTATTTTTTACATCTGACTTAATGCCTTTTTCTAAATTCATTTAAACCTATTTTTTTAAAATACCTCTTTCTGTTCACTAATTCTTTGGAATAATTCAAGTGTTAATTTTCTAATTTTATAGCAATGCTATAGCGTTACCTGTGTGACATCCAGGAAGAGCACCAATGCCATCTACTGTCAGAGAGCCCTGAATAGTGCCAAGATTATAAACAATTCCCAGAATATGCAGTTCCCCTATGTGATGGGGAAAGAGCTTTAGTCTTGCCTGTGGAAATATTTAAGTCACTCTTATTATGATTTCATATATCTTCAATAGAGCAATATGCAAATTCTGTAAATTCTGTAATGTTGTAGGCATATAAACTTATGACTGAACTTTTGAATACCAGTTTTTCTTACAGAAAAGCATCTTCTTCAAAAGAAAATCCTAAGTTCAATAACTATAGCCTGGATCCTTAATACTTTGAGTAAAAAATCAAAATACTCTGGCCAACTAAAGAAATATTAAATTACCACACTGACACAAAGAAAAAAGTAAAACCTACACCAGGTCTCTAAGGAAATTAAATCAAAGACCATGGTAGGGACAGATATTGTAGCACAGTGGGTTAAGCTACCACTTGAGACACCTGACACCTGCATCCCATATCAGAGTGCCTAGTTTGAGTTTCAGTCACTCTGCACTTCTGATATAGCTCCCTGCTAATGTACCAGGGAGGCAGCAGATGATAATCCAAATACTTGGGTTCTTGTCACCTCTGTTGGAGACCCAGAAAGAGTTCCTGGCTCCTGGCTTCCACCTGGCCTAGACCTCGCTGTTGCAACCACTTGGGGAGCAAACCAGCAGATGAAAGAGTTCTGCCTCTCTGCCTTTCAAATAAATAAATCCTTCATTAAAAAAAAAAAAAAAAAAACCCAACTACAAACGTACTTTTCCCACCAATATCTTCCTAAGCAATTCCAGCTTCCTAATCTCCCAAATTTTACTCTTCTTAAGAAATAAATATGACAGATTTGTGTAATTAGGCCAATTTTTAAATTTTCAGCTTACTTTTAAAAGGACATCATAAGAAAGAAAGAATGATGAAATAATTACCACTTTAGATTCTTCACAATTAATTAAAAATTCTGAAATAACTTCTGTTCCAATCATTTTAGGCTCACTTGTAACCTGAAAAATAAGTTACTTTATAAAATACACATTCTAAAAATAAAACATCATATTATTACATTAAGACTCCGGTAGACCAATACTTAAAAACAGTAACAATAATGAAACTTAGTAAATGCCATGCTGTGGTAGGCACTTGCTATTTCTTTTTCATTTTGTTCAGTCCAACTCAAGTGAGAAGTGATCTATTCAAAGATGTTGCCACCAAGACAAAACCTCAAGAGAAAAAGTTGAGCCGCTTACAGTCAGCAATGGCCAAAATGGTCATTTAATTTAATCTTTACAGTAAGAGCCAATTTCTCCCATATTTAGTTCCAACCACACTCTCTGCAAATTGGTAAATCACACACAGAACAGATGATGGTAGCTTAAGTAGGATGCAGAAAAGATAGGTGGTCAATAAAAGCAGAAAGAGAGAAAGGAAGGCCTGTTTTCTCCAAACCAATGACATTTTAAGGGGCTAGAGTCTCTAGTTACGTAGTAAAGCAGACTACTAGTTCTCGTGAAAAGCAAACCTGATCCTCAAAAATACTCTTTTACTCTTACCATGAAATTAGTTATTTGACAAGAAATAAAAATCTCCCTAAATTCCAGTTCAGCATCTTAGTCTATCACCAGTAGAAACTCATAAAAAATGCAAAAAGTTTAAAATTTATAGGAAAAATTTTGTTTTAAAAATATTTCACAACACACAATGAAAAAATTTCATGTTATTTTAATAACTCACCTCTAAAATCTTCAACCTGACTAGAAATCAATGAACTGCAGACACCAGCGTTGTGTTGTAGCAGGTTAAGCTGCTGCCTGCAATACTGGCATCCCATATGGGGGCCTATTCAAGTTCCAGCTGCTCTACTTCCAATCCAGCTCCCTGCAAATGCACCTGGGAAAGCAGCATAGGTTGACCCAAGTGCTTGAGGCCCCAAACCCATGTGGAGACCTGGATGAAGCTCCTGGCTCCTGATATCGGCCTTGCCCAGCCATCTGGGGAATGAACCACCAGACGGAACAGCTCTCTCTTTGTCTTTCCCTAACTCTGCCTTTCAAATAAACAAAATAAATCTTTTTTAAAAAAGAAGTGGAAAATAAAAAAGTAAGATGTATCTTTTACCTATAAAATCAACAGGCTCTTTTTTTTTTTTGACAAATAATAATGCTTAATATTACAAAGATGAGAAAACCAACCCCATGTGGTGCTGGTGAGAACCTTGCTCAAAAATCAATATGTATTAAAATAATTACTCCCTAGAGTCTCCTAATTTCATGCCTACAACTCTTTCCTACAGAAATAGTCTGAAGGCTAAAAATAAAGCACAAAAATATTCACCACTCGGGGCCCGTGCTGTAGCGCAGTGGGTTAAAGCCCTGGCTTAAAGCGCCAGCATCCCATTTGGGCACCGGTTTGAGTCCCGGCTGCTCCACTTCCAATCCAGCTCTCTGCTATGGCCTGGGAAAGCAGTAAGAAGATGGCCCAAGTCCTTGGGTCCCTGCACCCGTGTGGGAGACCCGGAAGAAGCTCCTGGCTCCTGGCTTCGGAAAGGCGCAGCTCCGGCCATTGCAGCCAATTGGGGAGTGAACCATCAGATGGAAGACTTTCTCTCTGTCTCTGTCTGTCTCTGCTTCTCTTTCTGTGTAACTCTGACTTTCAAATAAATAAATAAATCTTTAAAAAAAAATCCACCACAGAATTACTGACAATAAACAAATGAAAACTAAAACAACTATCAATGACAGAATAGCTTATAATTCATCTACATAATATAACACTAAACAAAAATGAAATGTTTAGAAATTTTATTCAGAAAACACATAAAACACAATGCAAAAAGCAACATACATAATATTAAGGAATTTCAAACACAAGGGAACATCAAAAAGTTCAGAAAAAATGGTCTTAAAAGGTAAGTTTAATTGACTGCAAAAACTTTTTTTAAATTCATACAAACACTTTTATAATACATCCTTTCCATGAACTTTTTGGAAACTCCTTTTATATGAGAGAAAAACAAATAAATGTCAATAATTAGAAAGACATATAGCAAAATGTTGCAACAATTACTTATATATATTTTGGAAGACAGATTAGTCCTTTTGCTTTTCTATCTTCTCAATTTTCAACAATAGCTCACTGGATAGAAGTTGAAATGTCATTACAACATCCATTAGGCTATAACTAAAACATGCTTATTACAAATACCTTTTAATAACTTACTAGTTCTTTAACTTCTTCTTTATCCTTTCCAGGGAAATTTTCAGGATGAAACTTCCAGAGCAATGACAAATCAGTTAACAAAAGGGGAACCTTCAAAGGGTTTCTAAAAGCCACTTCGACTGTAATTGGTTCTATAAAATAAAGATTCAAATTACTAACTTTAATAAACCTCACACCTCACCCTAAGTTTTGATTCTCTAAACACACCTTGCTTTCATAGCTCTGCATTCTTGCCTAAATTACCCTTTACTAGCTTGTAAATATCCATATTCCATTTTAAAATCACCTTCTTTGGATTTCTCCAATTTCTTTGTACGAAAGAATGTTATTCCCTCATGAATATTCCAACATCACACAGAATATATAGATACTTGAGTTACACTGGGGTTATGTCCTAATAAAGCCATAAACTGGAAATATCCTAAGTTGAAACCTATTCAATACACCTAAAATACCAAACATTATAACTTAATACAGCCTACCTTCAACATGCTCACAACACTTATATTAGCCTACACCTGGGCAAAACTACCTAAAATAAAACCCATTTTTAATGAAGTACTGAATACTTCATTTAATTCATTGAACACTCTACTGAATGTGAAAAAACAAAATGGTTGCTCTGTATTACTAGCTTAAGAAATAACCAAACTGCAAAGTAGTTTCTACTGAATGTATATTTTTCTGTTTCTTCTTGAAGTGTATAACTGCATTGCTCCAAAGGTCCAGCACTGAAACTTTCTGCAAACCTCCACTAATGACTACTGCATAAAATAAGGCAGGCAGTTGAAAAATACAGCTGTCACAAAGTTTCTATTCTTTACTCCAGTTTCAAGAGTGGATCACACCCCAGCTTTCCCATCAGGATATGAACTCTCACTCAGCTGTGTAAGAATGTGCACTGTTTGGACACAACAATACACATACATCTGTATACATCTGTACTTGTATTAGCACCCACTCTGGTTGGTTGCATAAACGCACCTCAGTAAATTACATATTCCTAATTTATTTTTACATTTGCTGCCTTCAGTAACATGCTATACACTGTAAATTAAATTAAATCTGCTTTAGGTGAAACAAAAAAGCACAGTTAAATACTCAAATATATCACCTTCTACAACAGCAAGTGGAAATCTTGAGTTATCTGAATAGCTGTTCAAACAATATTGTGTGGGATAGAAATTGGAGGGAATTACTCCTTTGTTAACCACAGCTACCACTTGCTCTTCAAGTTCCCGCCACTGTTGAGAGGATTCAGAGTCATATTCTTGATCAAGACTTACATGAGTAGCTGCTTGCTTTTCACCTAAGAAAATAAGTAGCATAATTAAATACACATGTCTGAACATCTGTCATCAAATAAAACATTTTAGATAAAAATTGAAATTATCCAATTCATATACAGTCTTGCCTATTTCCAATTCTATGAGTAAAATATACTTATATTAATATATACTAATAGGCCAGCACCACAGCTCACTTGGCTAATCCACCACCTGCAGTGCCGGTACCCGAGGTCTAGTCCCGGCTGGGGCACCGGGTTCTGTCCTGGATGCTCCTCTTCCAGCCCAGCTCTCTGCTGTGGCCAGGGAGGACAGTGGAGGATGGCCCAAGTCCTTGGGCCCTGCACCCACATGGGAGACCAGGAGGGGCACCTGGCTCCTGGCTTCGGATCAGCACAGCACACCGGCTGAGGCAGCCATTTGGGGGGTGAGCCAACAGACAGAGGACCTTTCTCTCTAATTCTCTCTCACTGTCTAACTCTGCCTGTCAAAAAATAAATATATATATACACTAATATAATATGCATTTATATTAATATATATTACACTCATACTAATATAATAAAAACATTATAAAATATACTTAATGAAACTTAGCTTATAAATATTGATATTCTTTTCCTCTTGACTCTGAAAGAATGCATTTTCCCTAGGTTCCACAAATAATTTTTGTATGAAATATTTCAAACAATATTTACAGAAAAGGTCTGTAGAATAATATAGCAAACAGTTGTATATTGAGCTTTGTTAAATGCCAACCTTTTTTAAAGATTTTATTTATTTGATAGGAAGAGTGACAGAGAGGGAGAGACAAATAGAGTTTTTCCATCTACTTGTTTTCTCCCCAAATGGCTGCAACAGCTGGGAGCTGGGCCAGCTGGAAACCAGGAGCCCTGAATTCCATTTGGATCTTCCACGTGGGTGGCAGGAGCCCAGGCATTTGGACCATCTTCTACTGCCTTCCCAGGTACATTAGCAGGCAGCTGGATCCAATGCGGAGCAGCTGGGACTCGAACCATCACAGGTTGCTTAACCCACTACATCACAATGTTAACTCCCCAAATGCTAACTTCTGTCACATGATCCTATTTTTTCACAAATGGATGTTACAACTTTTGTCACATGGTCCTATTTTTTCATAAATGTATGATGCCCTCTCCACAATTCTCACCAATCCCTTCAGTCTCCCTCACCCCAATGGCATCACTTTTGCCAGAGCTATCCTGAAGATGAAGTGCATAATTCTCATCCATGATATTTTATCACATATGAATGACAAACAATGCATTAAAATTGGCCTGTGTGTTTGAAAGTCACACTGTAACTGAATTTTTGCACTTGACATTATACTATGGGAATTACCCATAACCAAACATGTAGAGGGGCCAGTGCTGTGGTGCAGCGGGTTAAAGCCCTGGCCTGAAGTGCTGGCATCCCATATGGATGCCGGTTCTAGTCCCGGCTGCTCCTCTTCATATCCAGCTCTCTGCTATGGCCTGGGATAGCAGTGGAAGATGGTCCAAGACCTTGGGCCCCTGCACCCATGTGGGAGACCCAGAAGAAGCTCCTGGCTCCTTGCTTCGGATTGGCGCAGCTCTGGCCGTTGCGGCCATCAGGGGAGTGAACCATCGGATGGAAGACCTCTCTCTGTCTCTACCTCCCTCTGTAACTTTGTCTTTCAAGTAAATAAAATAAATCTTTTAAAAAAATGTGGAAGCATGAATCCTGCAGCATGAATCCATTATACAAATAAAACAAAATATACCAAAATGTATCAATTCCTTCTCTACCAAGAATTTTAGTTTTTTGACTTTTTTTTTTTTACTATTAAAAACACTGCTTCCGGGTTCTCCTCTTCCAGTCCAGCTATCTGCTGTGGCCTGGGAGGGCAGTGGAGGATGGCCTAAGTGCTTGGGCCCTGCACCTGCATGGGAGACCAGGAGGAAGCACCTGGCTCCTGGCTTCAGATCGGCGCAGCTCTGGCTGTGGCGGCCATTTGGGAGGTGAACCAACAGAAGGAAGACCTTTCTCTTTCTATCTGTCTCTCTCTCTAACTCTGCCTGTCAAAACAAAACAAAACAAAACAAAAACACAATGCTGCTATAAACATGCTATTTTCTTAAAAACATCAAATTATCTCTCAAGGAGAAACATTAAGCTGAAATACAAAAATATTTAAAATTATATAGTTTATTTTAACATGAATCAACAGTCTTAATATATTTATAATTTTGGCCCCATAAAGCCATTCTAGGGCTAAATCCTAAAGAAATTATTCTATATTTAAAAAAAAAAGGCAAGGGTCCAGCATTTTGGCGTAGCTTTGGCCTGGCCCATCCTCACCACTGCAGTCCATTGTCGAGTGAACCAGAGGGTGGAAGATATCTCTGTCTCTCCCTCTCTCTGTAACTCAGACTTTCAAACAAATAAACCTTTTTTAAAAAATTAATAAATTTCAAAAAGCAAGCCTTAAAACAAGATGGGTAACTGTTCTCTGCTTTTACGTACATTTGAAAATTTCCACAATAAATAGCTACCCATTATACAGAAAGATGTCCACCACAGTATGATTTTATATAACCAAAATGATGGAGGGGAGAGGTGTCTGGCACAGCAGATAAGACTCCACTTAACTGTATCAGAGTGACTGGGGTTCAGCCTCAGCTCTGCTCCAATTCCAACTTCCTGCTAATGTGCACTCTGGGAGGTAACACGTGATGGCTAAAGTACTTGGGTTCCTCTCATCCAGAACTTGGGAGACCTGGATGGGGCCCCTTGGTCCTGCTTCTACCTGGCCCAGACCCAACTGTCGAAGGCATCTGGGGCATGAACCAGCAGATGGGAGATTTCTCTCTTCTTCTGTCACTTTCTCTCTTTCTCTGTCTGGTTTTCAAAGTAAATTTTAAAAAGATACAAACAATCTAATAAACATTAAACTACATTATATAAATTGAATGAAGTATCTCACAAATATTAAAAATATTTATTAATATTATGTAAAAACAGTGATTTTTACGTGAGAAATATTATGCAAGAAAAGCTGTTATAATTATGACTGTTTTGTTTTCATTGTTTTTAGTTTTTAAGGTTAGAATGAAAAGCAGTCAAGTAGTAGCTATCGTCAGGTACCAGGACAATCAGTGAAGTGGTGTAGTTATTTATTTTCCTATACTCAACTACACATCATTTTTATATGGTGAAAGGAAAAAATAAACTTAAAAAAAATTGTCATTAAATAGTGAGGCCAAATAAAACTTTACTAACCATCTGCTGGCCGTCTGTCATGTCCAAAGAAAACCCGTGTCGCTGAACTGTTAATGTATGGTACAGGAAGTTGTGGTAAAGGACCATCTGGGGAGAGCTGACTCACATTCTGGGAAAAATAGGAAAGAAAAAAAGCCACTAAGAAAAACTACATTTTCTTAATGTATGTTTCCTCACCTTTAAAATAAGTACAAGGTATTAGAGACATATTAAGCAAAAATATTAAATATATAGTTTTACTTACTATAATACAGTCATAAAATTTCACAACTAAGAACTTCAGTCATCACTTATTCTGGCCTCAAGAGAACTTCTGAAGGTTCCTCAACTAGTTAGTTCTCTTTCAAAGTTAAACATTCAAGTATTATTTTTGTATGCATTTTACTTCCTGTGAGTCATGCTATCTGCCAAAATTCTAACTCATCTGGCTTCAAATTAATAAAAGTCTAACATGATAGTTATTTTCTGCAGAATAGATCACAATTACAACTTTCAATTTTTCTCTCTAAAACAATTTTCTATCCTCTTGTCTCAGTGAAATATTCTTTCTTCCTAGCAATTTTTCTGGGCTATCACATAATACCCTATTTTCCACAGATCCATAGCTTCTTCTCTTTTCTAAGAAAAAAAAAGGCACATATGTTGACAAGTGATGGTAAAAGGAGCCACTTTTACTGTAAAATCAATTGTGATACTATAAAAACACAATGAAGAATCAAGCCAGAAAGCTTGTGGTACCATTTTTTTGTGATTCTGATAGCCACAAATCAAATGTTTATTGAAATATTAAAATTCTCTTTGAAGAAAATGAGGAGAGGCAATGCAACCCAAATTTATGACCAAGAGGCCTAGCCAGCCACAACTTTATTACAATAGTTAAATATATTCTAATATAAGTATCTTATTAGATTCTTAAGGAACAATAACAAATATACTCTTTTGCAGAAAATAACCCCTTATACACAATGGCAATATCCATTCCTGAAAATAAGTACTTACCTTATAAACATAAAGATATTCTCTAAGGAAGGTGCCCTGTTGAGCAGCAGACTGTTTACTTTCATTGATTAAAATATGCCTGAATGCAGACACAGCATTGTCCAATTGCCTAAGCGTATAGGACTGGCGCCCAATAGTGAAGTTAATGTGATCCTCTGCAAGAGACCAGCCTTTCCCTTTGTAAACTTGCATGGCTTGACAATAGCAACGTAAAGCATGTTTCTTCTGTAAGAAAATAATTAAAGTATTATAATACAAATCTTGAACTGGAAAAAATAAATAGACACACGCATACACACACAATCAATAATTGGTTCTTCCTTTAATAGGGAATGAGAAAAATGAAATTAACATTGATGGCAATCCCTTCACAATTATATATGGAATATATAACACCTTATAAATTAAGTTTGTGTATGTTTATGGTGAAGAAAAGCAGAAAACACAAAGCGAAAGAGATACCCCTCTGTTATGGCATCCACTCACTATTTCTCTGAGCAGCATCTTAAAAGGTAAACTTCAGAAGCAAGAGCTCACCTCTCAACCTGGCTTTACCTACCTTGAATTCTTTCTGGGGAAAGGCAAACTAATAATTTTCAACATCTAAAATGGCAAGCTGATTTCACTAATATTATGATTAAAAAAAAAAAAAAGACAGTTCTCACAATTTACCTAGAAGCAAATTACACTTTCAAAGAATTTTTTGAGGCCACTGCTGTGGTTTAGTAGGCTAAGCCTCCGCCTGCGGCGCCAGCATGCCATATGGGCACCTGTTCATGTCCCGGCTGCTTCTCTTCCAACCCAGCTCTCTGCTATGACATAGGATAGCAGTAGAAGATGGCCCAAGTGCTTGGGCCCCTGAACCCATGTTGGGGACCAGGAAGAAGCTCCTGGCTTCGGATCAGCCCAGCTCTGGCTATTGCTGCCATTTGCGAACGAGCAGATGAAAGATTCTCTCTCCCCCTCTCCTCCTCTCTTTCTCCCTTTCAAATAAATCAATGAAATCATTTCGAAAAATAATTTTTCCTATCCAGGAAATACTTCTATAAAACTTTTTTTATCCTTGCTTACAATCAAAGACTTTCATTGAATTTATGTGGTCACATATGCCATATGCCACATTTGCATAAGTCAACCTTAATTTTTTCCTATACTGGCCCAGCCATGGGGACTTCCACCTGTCTGTCTCCCACAACTCAATAGTCAGTACTGTGACCAGAAGAGATTATGCCTTACAAAATTCAGATATAGTATTGAGTAAAGACAGTGGTTCGGTGAATACTGCCTGGCCAAGACATGGCAGGATTCTCTGCCAGCTAAATTAGCTGCCACCATGGCTTCCTCTTTAGGATGCTGTCTGCAAATATGAAGATGCACATGTTCATGGTACCTACTGAAGAACTGAGAACATCAAGAGATTAAAATCTATATGTTATAAAGAATATATTCAGAATGAAAAATTGTACAGAATTCCAAAACCTTATGACTATTGCAATAAAACTACAAAACCACCTATGGCAATAAATGTCACCAATAAACAAGCTCAAAAGAAGACTACCACATTTCTTACAGCAAAGCAAGCAGCATATATTTGACAGAAAAGATGACCAAAAAAGGGGAAACAGGAAATTCATGGCAATTAAGACCATTATTTAAAAAAAAAATTTTTTTAAAACACACCTGGCCCAGCCCCACTCATTGTAACCATTTGGAGAGTGAACCAGCAGATAGAAAACCTCTCTCTCTCTCTCTCTGCCTTTCAAATAATAAATCTTTATAAATAAGTAAATAAAGTCCCAAAGAAAAGGTCCAAGTTTCAGTCGATCACAATTAATGGAGACAGATTTTATCTAGATCTGGCTGTGGAATCACCAAGTTCTACTCACTTGTCACCTCTACTCAACTAATGGAAGACTTGGACACACTGAAGAAGTCACTCCATTTGAAAGGATCAATGATTACAGGAAAAGCCCTTAAGACATTGCATAGTTGAAAGCTGATGTTCAACACCAAAATCTCCAATGAGAGCCAAAATCAATCACAGAGAAAAAAATGCAATTAAAAAATTATAGTCTAAAAACAAAGAGGCTGTAAAGCAGGCAAGTACCTACTCTGTTCAAAGGCAAGAAGTCTAATAAGTCAGGAATAGTAATAACTTTGAAAAACCATTTGAGAGTTTTCAGAGCATATGGAGCCATGAATCAGAATTAGGGGCTTGGTTGTTAGTTTATAACTGATAGCTGTTTTAAGAAATTTAACTTTTTATGGTTATTTTATACCACTGCATTGTGCTGACTGAAAATATACAGAGTATGCCAAAACTACAGGCATGAGAACTGCTGTTTTGGTATTTGTTTGGTAGTGATAGTTTGGCAATTTTGTTTTTTCCAATGCTACATCCCATCACAACCATAAGCAAACAGGTGGTATTAATTATCACTGCCATCCTCTGAATTCAGACAATCTCCATCTTAAAACTAGAAGATGGTGCCACAAAGATTTTTTCCTTACTAATCCCTGCATCAGCATACATTCTTGTACCCACTACTCCTGAAAGGAGTTATTATAAATTTTGAATCATGCATAGTCAAAATTATCTTTGTGGGTTTTAAAAAACGTATTTTCTTGAATAAGGAATAAAAAAAATCAAATAAAAGTTATTTGTCACTTGATGGCCTGCAGTGAGACCAACTTATCTCTTTTGTGATATTCCTACAATGATATCAAATTTGAACTGTCATGAGAAAAATATTGTAAAGCTTAACTGGAAGAAAACTCCACAAAATAATTGTCCCATAATCTTCCTAAATGCCAAGGTCATAAAGTCAAAGGACCCTTGAACTGAGAAAGAACAAAAATTTTTAGAGAAAGGATACTCTTCTGTATTATGGTTTAAAGAAGAAAAGTTCTTCTATCTACAAAACGGGAAATACATACTAACGTATGAGGGCAATAGGCACAAGGCAGGCTGGAGGTGGGGGAAAATAATGTACCTCTGAGATGGCTCAGTTTTAAAAACAAAAATTTCTAATGGATGCAACTGGAAGGCATCATGTTGAGTGAAATAAGCTGCACACAGGAAGACAAATACCGCATGTTCCCCCCTATATGTGGGAACTAAAATTAAAAGCAAAAAAACCAAATGCCTGAGTGCATCAGTATTGCTGGAGATACAGTTTTGTAAAACTTTGTTTTATACCATTGTCAAGTTAAGGTTATGTTACTAAAGTTTTAATAATGTGATTATTTTAAAATTTACTGTATATGAGTGAAATGGTCATTTCTTGATGTAATTACTGTTCATAACCCTTGCCTATATTCTCACTAAACTATAGAGTCTTGTTGCTTTTTATTTGTTAAATTTCTTACTTCATGAAACATTAAATCTTTTTACTGTAATGAAAATTTAAAATACTATCTCAAAAAAATGAAAGGAAAGGGGGGAGAAATATCATTAAATTCTTGGATTTGTATTTATGAAGTATTTGAAACTGTTAAAAATGAATTTTTAAAAAATGTTAACAAATTTTTTTTTAAACCAAATGAAAGGCTGAGAGAGATGAACCAGGTCTTGAGGGAGAGACAGTAATGTCCAATAGAGTGGGAAAGGAGGAAGCACAATCTGTGAACTTCGTTCCAGTATCTGGATCAGGTACCCCTCGCCCCTTCTATTCTGCATTTTATCATTTTGTGATGAGAAATTTCCTTTCGTGCTTAGCCCTGTCACTTGTAGCCAAGCCCTGAATTTTTATATTAAGAAAATTGCTGGAGCTGGGGTTGTCAGTGTGGCATAGTGGGCTAAGCTTCTGTTTGCAGCACCGGCATCCTATATGGTCACCAGTTCATGTCCCAGCTGCTCCATTTCCGATCCAGCTCTCTGCTATGGCCTGGGAAAGCAGTAGCTGATGGCCCAAGTTCCTGGGCCCCTGCACCTGCTTGGGAGACCAGGAAGAAGCTCCTGGCTCCTGGCATCGGATCAGATCAGATCAGGCCAGCTCAGGCCATTGCAATCATTTGGGAAGTGAACCAGTGGATGGAAGATCTTTGTCTCTGTCTCTCCCTCTCTCTGTCTGTAACTCTGCCTTACAAATAAATAAATAAAATATTTTAATAAAAAAAGAAAATTGCTAATTTTTATTTTTCTCTTCATGTTGATAATTCATACAACTATGAATAATGAAGTAATTCAACTGCATTATATTTTTAATTAATAACGCAAATATACCTAAGATAATAAAAAAAAATTCTAACCTGGACATATAACTTTTCTATAATCTTGAAACATTTTCTAAATACTTACGTGTTGTTTCTTGAAAAAAAAAAAAATCCCAATTGCTATTTAACATTTATTAAAAGAAACAGACTTAAAACAACTGAATGTGGTGAAGTGTTATGTTCAAATGTATTTGTTAAGATTTTCTAAGTATCCAAAGATACTTAAAAAAGTTAACAAGAATTTAAAAGTCTGTCTTTTAAAGTAAGAACAGAAAGATTACCCAGGTTATACTGGACAAAGTCACATGCACTCACCTCAGTACTTTGTTAATTTTTTTTTCTGACTTGAAATTTTAATAATATCAGGTCTGCGTTTTTTAAATGCTTATTTATTTATTTTCATCAACTTGAAAGGCAGAGTGATGGAGAGAGTGTGGGAGGCAGACCTTCTATCCACTGGCTCATTGCCCAAATGCCTGCAACAGCTAGGGATGAACCAGGCAGAAGCCAGAACCTAGAATTCCAGCCAGATCTCCCCCATCGGCAGCAGAAGCCTAAGCACTTGGGCCATCTTCCAGTGTCCTCCAGGAAGCCTTATTTGGAAGCCAGATTGGAAGCAGAATAGCCAGGACTCAAACCAGCACTCCAACATGGGATATGGGCATTGCAAGCAGCAGTTTAACCTGCTGTGCCATGACACCCACATACAGCTCTTTTTAAGTGTCCTATTCTTGCTGATATTCTTAACAAAAATAAAAAAATAAAAAAACTGAACTATAATAACTTCTGAGACAAGATTAGCAATACAGCACAAATTCTTAGGCACAGAGAAGACTAAGAGAAGTGGCACTGCTATATAATCTTTCTTGTCCTCATTCACCAACACTTATTTTTAATGCAACTGTCTGATTAACAAGTTGGTGCTTCTCAGAAACAAACTGGTCTTAGAACTTCTTAGAAACAAACTGGCCCTATCTTCCACGAAAGATAAACTTGACTAGAACATAGGACACATATTTGCTTTTCTAGTATTACTTGCATTCTAGTCATACTCTTAGGATTCCACATACTGTTCGTGAAAAAATCTTTCCTGAGTTTAGAGTATATAGGGTGTTCAAGAGACAACAAACCTAGTTACCATGGAATCAATACCTCCAAAGGGTAACTAAGTTAGAGACCAAAAGCCAGACAGCAGATAAATATCAACATACCACAGATGCATCATTTTTAACTTTCTGAAGCAATATGCCCTATAATTTAAGGAGGTAAATACAAGCAGCTGTTTCTATTTCCAATGACATTACCATTCTTGCAAATGAAACCATTTACAAAAATGGACAAAGATGCAGGGGAAAGGTAACAATTTCAATAACAGACAAGTGGATCATTGCTACCAGGGCATATAGTTTTCTTAGGAAGCAAAAGAAACACATGTTAATACTTTTGTCACTTTTTGAATAGTTAACTTTTTTAAGCAAAGACAAATAGTGAGATAATGTGCTTCATTTGCACTTGCACTTACTATGGAAGAAGGGCTGTGAAAAATGAGTTATGATTTTTAATGCTTTTTCCACTTTAGAGACTTAGAAATTATAATTATAAAATAAAATTATAAAAGTTTCCAAATTTAATATGAAGCAAGTCTACATATTTCTTACTTTCCACAGGTTCCAAAAACAGGAATTCAATCTTGAAATGGTTAAAGTCTTAGTATTTTTACCTGAAATTTAGGGGGATTTTTGAACATCTTTATTTCTTTGTACCTTTAAAATAACATACATTTAAAACACTGGCATGTGTTGGTTAGTACAGACCTGTAAAAATGCAATTATATTAATGAAAATTTATATTAATTAAGTTTTAAAAATGAGGATTTTTAATCCCTAGTACTCCACACTACTAGATCAAAAGCTCCTTAAATGGCAAGATCACACAGATTTCATGGCGTATGCTTAGTACCTGGTAGAGTTTCTGAAATACACAGGTAATTATTCAAATCACATCCCTACCTAAATTTACAGTAAACCACAATCTCAATTGCTCCAACTACTCTTAGCCTCTAACGAAGGTCTCTCCTATAATGCTTATAGGGACAACTGGGGCTGGAGATATCTCTTTAAATCAATAAAGATCCCTTCAACTTAACTGCTTCCAGAGTCAAGAGACAGAAAATCTCTACACATTAAATATTTAATCAAGAACATTACAAAGCACTCTGAGAAACAACAGAACATCAGAGCTGAAGTGAGGAGAATTCGTTTCTAATGGAATGTATATACTGTATCTGGCCCTTCACAATAACACATGGCTTGGTTTAACCTTACAAAAATTTAGGTAAATGACCAATTTTATAAATAAAAAAAAGAAGGCTCAGAGAAGTCAAGCAATTTGTCCAAAGCCAAGCTGTAAACCTAAGATCAAAATTAAAGTTCAGATCTATCCAAATCTTACGTGTTTAACTAATGTAATATATTACCTCAGAACAAAATTTATTGAGCTTTTAGGACTAATTTAGATCTCATTGCTTCTCAGCCTTTTGGCTAAGATCAAGTGCAGGACTAATATTAGATCTTAAAAAAATTGACCAATGACACACATTATGAAATAATTTAGTTATTCATTTTAAATAAACTGTACTCACCTGTCCTGCTTTACTAAACCGATGACCTGCCAATATCATATGAAATGCATATTTTCTAACCATGGGAGTCTTCATGTTTATAAAGCAATGTGCTGCCTGTTCCAAAAGAAGTGCACTTCGAAGATCAGAATCCTATTGAATGTTGAGAAGGAAACAAGGTTAGTTTCACAAAATCGAAAGTTAAAAACTTGTGACAAAACATTTACTTTCTTAACATATAGCAAATCCAATGTGTAACTTATGAGGATAAAGAACAAGGGGCAATCTTGATTCTCCCTTCCAATAAGCACAAGCTTCTACAAAGTCTTCAAAAATTATCATGCAATATTTTATGTTTTTTTATAAAATTTAAATGTCTGGTTATTATATGAGCCATGTAACAAATCTCTGAAAAACTGCAATTCTTTCTCAAATGAAAAAATAAAAGCATTACAAAACTCAGACTTTAACACATGTATACCACTTACATACAAAACGGGAAACACAAAGCACAGAAAAAAGATACTTTCTTTTGTAAATTTATCTGTGACCTCTCATATTTCTACCCATCCAAGAAAAAAAGGCAAGATAAAACAGAATGTGCACAAGTTATGAAATAACCTAATCTACTACTTTACTTTCTGTAAAGTTTTACTGTATTTAAAGGAATCCTCAATTTTTGCTATAATTCAGGAGGGCCAAAATGACTGTTAAGTGATTACCTTTTCACTTGCTATTAATATATTAGTAAGCAGTATAACATTTTCAAATCCATTTCCACTCCAAATAATCCTTACAACCAAACATCTATGAAAACCACATACTACATTTACACTATCATCTGTTAAAATAACCTTTGAATTGAAAGAGTCATCATCAGTTTACAAATAATTGAGAAAGTACTAAAGATTGTTGATTAAGTATCAACAATATTTTCACCAAAACTTTCTCTAGGATTTCAGCTATTCTTGGCTGAACTTACCATGCCCTTCCATGTGTTCTGCTGCCATTATTTTCCCCAGGAAAAGTTGAAAACAGAAAACATTGACTTTAAATGCAGTAATTTCAACAGATTATAGTTATGTAAAAAAGTGTTCATAAGACCAATTTAAGGGCTACACATTTCTGAGGAAATCATCTAGAGAGCACCTATTACAAATGGTAGTTATTTTATCATTTCAATCCTTATTGACAAAAATAAAAAACTAAATCATCAGACTTATCTGGTAACTAATAATCCAAAGCTAGTAAGCAGAAAAATCAAGAATGTATAATTAATGAGTAATTCTTAACCAAGAGTATATATCAGAATTACGTGGGGGATTTTGGGAGCTTACTTTTTTTTATTTAGGAATTTTTTTTTCCTTTTAAAAAGTCATTAAACCTTTTTTTTTTTTTTTTTTTAAGAATAAATGAAGAAGGGCCAGCATTGTAGCATAACAGGTTAAGCTGCCATCTGTGGCAACAACATCCCATATGGGTGCCAGCTCGAGTCCTGGCTGCTCCATCCTATCCAGCTCCCTGCTAATGCACCTGGGAAAGCAGAAGATGGCCCAAGTTCTTGGACCCATGTGGGAGACCAGTTGAAGCTCCTGGCTTCTGCCTGGCCCAGCTCCAGCCATTGTGGTCATTTGGCAAGTGAACCAGCAGATGGAAGATCTCTCTAACTCTGCCTTTCAAATAAATAAAATAAAATAAAATAAAATAAAATAAAATAAAATAAAATAAAATAAAATGAAGGAAGGAAGGAAGAATAAATGAAGGAAAGGTGAGCCTCTCTGACAGAGCTAACTATTGTTTGTAGTTTGGTATTTTACATGTTACTTCTCACTCTCCTTCTCCCTTTATGTGTCTTATGTGCATGTTTATGATGATGCCTAATACCTAAGATTTTTTAAAAATACAGTACTTTTTTTACACATAAGTGGTATCAGAGTACCTTGTTTTCACTTAATATCATGGGATTCTTTGTAGACATCCAAATCCTTCATTTCTTTTAAAAGTACATTGAATTCCAACGCATAAACGCACCATAACTTATTAATACAGTCCTCAGTTGACTAAGTATGGCTTCATACTTGTTACTATAAAAAATTTATGGAAACATTTTTGAGTAAGTAACCATTCAAATATTTTCATTAAATTGCTGGAAGCAGAATCCCTGAGTTAATGAGAGCTATGCATATACTTTAAATTCTAATTAATACAGTCAAATTGCTACCAAAAATAGCACTAATACATACTCTCATCAACAGAGAAAGAATGCATGTTTTCCACTCTACTCAGAAAAAAGGCTTTTAAAAAATTTTTACCTAACTAATAAAAGAAAAACAATACCTTGTTATTTAACAAACATTTCTTTAACAGTAAAGCTGATATGTTTAGGGGCCTTTCTATTTTAGCTGTGAATTGCCTGTTAATACCATTTTGCAAATGGATTTTTTTATTACTTCTTTTTGTATATTTGATATCAGTCCTTTGTCACACATTTTGCAAAAAGAACTTCCCAGTTTTGACAGGAAATAGTTTATTCTTTTATAGTCAATCATGCTGTTAACCTTTTTCAAGGCTTCGAGAAAATGTATCAAAGAAAGGATATTTTTATTCCTAGATTTTTTTTTTTTTTTTTTTTTTGGACAGGCAGAGTGGACAGTGAGAGAGAGAGAGAGACAGAGAGACAGAGAGAAAGGTCTTCCTTTTGCCGTTGGTTCACCCTCCAATGGCCACCACGGCCGGCGCACTGCCGGCGCACCGCGCTGATCCGATGGCAAGAGCCAGGTACTTCTCCTGGTCTCCCATGGGGTGCAGGACCCAAGCACTTGGGCCATCCTCCACTGCACTCCCTGGCCACAGCAGAGAGCTGGCCTGGAAGATGGGCAACTGGGACAGAATCCGGCGCCCGGGCCGGGACTAGAACCCGGTGTGCCGGCACCGTAAGGCGGAGGATTAGCCTAGTGAGCCACGGCGCCAGCCTACTCCTAGATTTTTAAAAGTACATTTTCTTCTGGTATTATATTGGCTTCATATATATATATATATATGTATATGTATATATAATTACACTGGTTTCACTTTTTGTTACAGTTTAGTCATTATAATATATTATCACATAATAAAGTAGGAATCCAATCAAAAAACTGATTAGATGTCACAATATCATTTAGTTAATACCAAAGCCTCACCACTGATTTTAAATAATACCTTAATTATATGCAGTATTAAAATTCCCATCCTATTCCATTAACCCTGTCTATTATCACTACAAATGCTTTTAATCTCTGTAGCCTTATATTTTAATAGCTAGAACAAGTCACTCTAACTAGCTTTTCAATTTGAGAATTTCTTCAGGCCTCATCAAGTTTCATAGTTCTTTTTAAGTCCTACAAATTTCTTAAGTTTATTGACATAAGCATACGCAAACACACATTAGATACATATATGTTTCTTAATTGTCTATGAAGCTTCATTAAACTGCAAAACTTGGATGGGTAGTGATCCTGGTCACTCTATTAAAATACTAATTAAAATAATGAAAGTAGAGGGCTGGCACTGTGGCATAATGGGTAGAGCTGCCACCTGCGATGCTAGCATCCCATATGGGTACCAGTTCGTGTCCCAGCTGCTCTACTTCCAACCCAACTTCTATCTGTTAATGGCCTGGGAAAATTGGCAGCAGATGGCCCAAGCGCTTGGGCCCCTGCTACACAAATGGGAGACTTGGAAGAAGCTCCTCATTCCTGGCTTCAACCTGGCCCAACCCCAGCCACTGCGGCCATCTGAGGAATGAACCAGTGGATGGAAAATCTCTCTCTCCCCCTCTCTAACTCTTTCAAGTAAATAAATAAATCTCAAAAGTAATAATAATAAGGAAAATGCCCTTGGTATCTTTGATGGTTCATAAATAATTCTCCAGTTGAAAACCAGCACAATAAACACACAGTCTTCTCAAATTTAACACTCAAAAGGGCTGAACAATTCAAGAGTGACCTGGAAGTCCAGGGCTTGTATTAACAGATGAAACAAAATTTTGACTCTTGCAGGCAGCAGACTGTTAGATAAACAGTCAGTTTGCAGAGCTAAATGCACAGCTGTCATATTTCACTGTGCTTTTATCATCATTAGACCTTATCTCTTATACTAACACCCAAAATGTTAAAAGCAGTATTTTGAGGGGGATAAAATGATTCTGGAAAAAAAAAAAAAACAACTGTCATCAGTAGTGCTAGTACAGAAATGAAAGTATTTTACAAAGTAGTGGTTTTATTCAGAAATCAGATGCTTTAAAGGAATGAAATTTTACTAAGTGTCAGTTCATACTTATGATAGACAAATCTATTATATATGCTGTCTGAGGAACTAAGAAAATGAAAAATCTAGGGGCTGGTGCTGTGGCATAGTGGGTAAAGCCACCACCTGTAGAACCTGCATCCCATATGGGTGCCAGTTCAAGGTCTGGCTATTCCAATTCCAATCCAGCTCCCTGCTATGGCCTGGAAAAGCAGCAGAAGATAGCCCAAGTCCCTGGGCCTCTGCATCCACGTGGGATAGCTGGAAGAAGCTCCTGGTTCCTGGCATCAGACTGGGCCAGCTCTAGCCGTTGGGGCCATTTGGGGAATGAACCAGCAGATCAAAGAATTTTTTTTTATTTATTTTTTATTTTTTTTGACAGGCAGAGTGGATAGCGAGAGAGAGAGAAAGACAGAGAAAGGTCTTCCTTTTGCTGTTGGTTCACCTTCCAATGGCCGCCACGGCTGGAGCACTGCGGCCAGCGCACCGCGCTGATCCGAAGCCAGGAGCCAGGTACTTCTCCTGGTCTCCCATGGGGTGCAGGGCCCAAGCACTTGGGCCATCCTCCACTGCACTCCCTGGCCACAGCAGAGAGCTGGCCTGGAAGATGGGCAACTGGGACAGAATCCAGCGCCCCGACCGGGACTAGAACCCGGTGTGCTGGCACCGTAAGGCGGAGGATTAGCCTAGTGAGCCGTGGCGCCAGCCAGATTGAAGACTTTTCTCTCACTCTGCCTCTGCTTCTACCTCTCTGTAACGCTGTCTTTCAAGTAAATAAATGTTTTTAAAAATAAAACAAAAATAAAAAATCTGTGACAACATTTCAGCATGAATCGCTATCTAAAAATCTGCCCATAACCAGGCAAGCCAGCAGAGCATGGCCCACGTGAGCTCCTGCACCCTTGTGGGAGATCCAGAAGCAGCTCTTGGTTCCTGGCTTCAGGTAGGTCCAGCTCCAGCCATTACAATCATTTGGTGAGTGAACCAGTGGATGGAAGATATCCCTGCCTCTCTTCTCTCTTTCTCTCTCTAACTCTGCCTTTCAAATAAATAAATAAATTTTAAAATAAAATAAAATAAAAATCTGCGATACTGTTTCAGCAAAAACTCTTGCCCACAACCAGGGCAACAACTTAAAGTGAGAATATGTAGTAAGAGAAAAAAATCATCTCAGGTAGAGGCCTTGTTGTGGCTTGAACATGGCTTTCATGTGTTGGAAACTTAATCATCGTGGCAACAGTGGGGGGGATTAGTTATCATGAGAAGGGATTTCTTTATAAAGCTAGTTCTACCCTCTAATGTCCTGTCCTGCCTTTCCACCTTCCACAGGGGATAACACACTATGAGGCCTTCACCAGATGCCAGTGCTATGATCTTGGGGTTCCCCAGTCTCCAGAACTGTGAGCCAAATAAATTTCTATTCTTTATAAGTCACCCAGTCTGTCCCATTCCATTGTAGCAACAAAAAATGGACAAAGACAGAACTTAATTACCATTTCCATAAAAACACAGTTGAGAAGGTACCAATTACAGTTACTAAAGTGAATCAAATTTCAAACAAAACCGTTTATCAATTTTAAGACTTTTTCTTTGTATGACTGTGTAGTTAACAGGAAAAGTGTTATCAGTGGATCAATTTCCCACAGGACTAATTGCTCCCACGCTGAAGAAACATAAAAAAAATTGCTATCAATATCCCTTAGCACTGATATGTCATCTTTTACACACAATTACAGAAATAAAGCCTTATGAGTTCAAGGTAAGTATTCAACATAAACATAAGACACAAGTAGCACTGTCTTTAGAACCAAATTCAAACGTGCTCCACTATGTGTTAATAAATCTGACATGTCTAATTAAGCCGGGTTTCCTCTGTCATTCTGACAGTCCCACAGTATTAAACAAAATCCACTTGCACATAAATTTGTAGTCTCAAAAATAAAGCCAAAGTACACTTTTTCACCAGGCCTCATAGCTGTCTTTTGCTACAATGGTATTGACAAAAATGTAGGAAACACAATTCATGAATGTCAGAGTATGTAGTTCGGCTCTCTAACCTCAAGACAGTGTACTTTCCATATCATACAGACTTTATAGTTCACAAAATATATACAATAAACAAATTACTGGTTAAGATTTAACATAATTTCACACATGTCTAGCAATCTTTGCTTTCAAGTTATACTTAGGTAAGATACATAAAAAAAAAAAAAAAAGAATGGTATAGCAAAAAAGACCTTTGAGAAAAACCATTTCTGAGGAAATGCACTACTACCTGACCCAACCCCTCCACTCAAGGCAATAAATGTAGTATATTTTCTAGACTTTCAAGACAAAATAAATCATCCAGATTTGGGAAATAAGGGTGAAGAAAAAAAAAGAAGAATGACAGAAAACAGTAAGGTTATAATGCCAACAAAAGATATGCTCCAAAATTCACATATGAAGACAGAACGGCAATTACAAGTATTTAAGCAAGAAAAACAAAAAGAAATTTTATTCAAGCTCTTGAGTCATAAATTCTTTTTACATTTCACTTAAAGTTCCCAAATTGAAAAACACAGCAACACACTGAAACCCAAGATCAAATTATTTATTAAGAGAATACAATACACTGAAGAGCCTACACTCAGCTCTACCAAGTAGTTTATATCTAGTATCTGTTCACGTTTATTGGTCAGTACACATGCAACATCAATTATTAAATAAATTTAAAATTTAAAATCACCCATGAACCTAACTAGTTATGTCTTACAGAAATATTTTTAGAAGAATTAATGGCTTAATTCAACAAACATCTGTAGAGTATCTACCATTGGTGAAGTCCAGCATTAGGCACTAAGGAATAAAAAATGTAACAGGCAACACAGTCTCCTGCCCTCAAGGAGCTAACAACTTAAACATAATTTCCAATGTAATATAACAAGTCAGACTTTACCACATTACATGGAAAGCAGAACAGACACACTTAGGATGATGCAGAGTATAAGGAAAGACCATCTGAAAGCCATGATTGATAGCAGGACTAATAAATTTGGTGTCAATTAGATGAATCAAGAGGAAAAAGGTCATAGTTCAGGAGAAAGGCATTGAGGACTTGAACTGTGACAGGAGGAGTTTTTAAAAACAAAGAGAAGTACACTAGCAGGACAGGAGAATATAGGAGCATCTCAAGCAGTCTCTGCCTTGAGCAAATAAAAGCTAGCACAGATAACATAATTAAAGATATCACTTGATATCAAGTAAGAAATTTTCAGCCCACTGATGGTGTTAATTTAAGGGGAGGGGATGAGTGGGGATAGGAGTATGACATAGTAGTTAAGATGCTGTTTCAGATGCCCGTATCCCGAATCAGAGTGCTTGGGTTCAAAATCCCATCACGGTTTCCAAAGCAAGCTTCCTATCTGGGAGGCAGCAGGTGACAGCTTAAGTACTTGGGTCCCCGTCGCCCACATGGGAGACCTGGACTTGAGTTCTGTCTCTTGGCTTCAGTCTCCCACTTCTGGCCATTATGAGTATTTGAGGAGTAAACCAGAAGACAGGAGATTTTTGTCTCTCTACTTTTCAAATCAGTAAATTAAATAAATAAAAATTCAAAATAAATAAAATTCACAATAAAAATTTCAAAATATAAAGAAGCCTTGGAAACATTCAAGTACATAAGCTAAAAGACAGTTGGCTAAACAAATGTAAAGTTCAAAAAGACATCAGGATTAGAGACAGATTTAAAATAAAAATCATGACTATGAACAAAATCTTCCAAATAATGTATAAAGTACAGTAGTGGTTCAAGATTTAAAACTCTAAGGTAATGTAACACTTTAAAACACTTTTTAAAGGGAAAAACAAAAGATGTTTTTTATTTTGTTCCTTTGTTAATGAATATTTATCTTAAAAAACATATCCTGGGCTGGCACCATGGCATAGCAGGTAAAGCCGTTGCCTAAAATCCCGGCATCCCACATGGATGCCGGTTCGATACCTGGCTGCTCCACTTCCGATCCTGCTCTCTGCTATGGCCTGGGAAAGCAGTACAAGATGGCCCAGGTCCTTGGACCCCTGCACCCACGTGGGAGACCCGGAAGAAGCTCCTGGCTCCTGGCTTCAGTTCAGTATAGCTCTGGCAGTTGAGGCCATTTGGGGAGTGAACCAGAGAATGGAAGACTTGTCTCTCTCTCTCTCTCTCTCTGCCTCTCTGTAACTCAGCCTTTCAAATAAATAAATAAATCTTTAAAAAAAAAAAAATATCCTAGGGAATGGGCTTAGTGACACCTATATATCACATGGGAGTGCCTGGAGACAATCCCCCACTCTAGTTCCTGACTCTAGCTTCCCACCAACACAGACTCTGAGAGGCAATAGTCATGGATCAAGTAATTGGGTTCCCACTACCCACAAGGGAAACCTGGATAATGTTGACTGAGCCACTGCAGGCATCTGGGGAGTGAACCAGAAGATAGGAGCTTGCTCATCAGCACATGTGCATGTAGTCGCTTTCTCGCTCTCTCTCTCCACACACACACACACACATTTTTAACCATAATTATGATGGAATTACTACCATGTTTTACATGCCTATGGTCAATGCAACTCAATAATGTCTTTTGTAAAACCTTCCATAGAGATAATGAAAGGATTATCTTTTCTTCCTTTTGAAATATTCATGATATACTGGTAACTTTTTAAAATGTTCACAAAGTTCATACTAGTTAAAAATCAGATTAAAAATTCTTCAGAGATAACTTTTTATATTAGAAATTATGCTTATGCATATTGTTTTAAATACTGTTTTGCATAGGACAGAATGTTCCTAAGTCATGCCCAATACACATCTATGGTTAATAAAAACAAAACATAGACTTAAAATATGTCAATAACTTCAGCTTATAAAAAGTTATATTTAAAATTAATTCAACAAATAACTCAAATATCCATGTTATAAATTCTCAAAGAGAGTACCCTACAAATTTTGTTTTGTCCATCCTAAGAAAGCTAGACTTTTAAATTAATGAACAATGCCAAAGAAAGCAATTTCAGTACCTCACTAGTCAACCGTATTAGGAGAGCTGCAGCTTCTGAGTACTTGCTTTGACTTTTTAAAATTTCAGCACTAAGCAATACGCATCTTTCAGCCAATACCATATTCCTAAATAAAAAAGAAAAATGCAATCAACACTCTAACAGCTTGTCACATCCAAAGTTACCAAATGTTCAGCAACATTCCAAATATAAAATTGAAGTACAAAGAAGTCTATGTCTTTGTTTTCCTCTTACCAAAGATATTAGAAAGAAAATCTTCAAAGGATCTTCAAGGAGTTCTCAAACCCATCTAAGCATTTTACCATTAAATAATGGTAAATAAATAATGGCAGTAAGAATACAATGTGAAGACAAATTTACTGTATAAAAAACTCAAGAATTCAACTAGTATCCTGAATCAGCAGCTAGTTACCATAAAAGCAGCTTTGAAATGATTTGTTTCTCCTTCTTCATTCCAAACTCTGATTATGTATGTTTCATTCTGCTGGCCATTTTTAGGAATGCTGATGCATATTCTTTATGGCAGTACTACCGAGATGTCTCAGTTGGGGATGACATAAGGTCAATCTTGCCTGATTGATTCTTCATGAAATTTTTTTTGTAAAGGTATACAATATTTTTTCCCACGGACTACTACATAAGAAATCTAGAATTATTCATTCTTGAAAAGCAAAAAAAAAAAAAAAAAAAATGAAAACACTCTTACTGTGAAACAAGATCTTTTTGTTGCGAAAAAGTAGCAGCAGTTTTTCTCCTTTTACTTTCTAATTCCTGTATCATAATATAACTTGGTTTTAAAATTACAACCAAAGCTTACTAACTTGTTGAACTCATAGTTAAAGACCATTCAAAGATATTTTAAAAATATAATTTACTACTCTCAAAAACTTCTGTGTTAAGGGTACACATTTGGCCTAGTGGTTTGATACCACCTTCTCCTGACTCTGGGAAATAGCAATGATGGTTCAAATAATTTGATTCCTGCTACCCATGTGGCAGACCTGAATTGAGTTCTTGGCTCAGACTTGGGCCTTGCCCTAGTTCCAGCTGTTACAGGTATTTAGGGAGAGAACCAGCAGATGAGAGGGCTATCTAACTAGTAATTTCAAAGCTACCATAGTTATCTGTCACAAACTTTCTACAAATCATGTTTTTTCTTAAAAGGTTAGCACTCGTGAATATCTAAGACAGGCTTGCTTTTTTTATTAAACGTTTATTAATTTTCATGTATTTGAAAGGCAGAGTGAGAGCAAATGCTCTGGTGCAGCAGATCAAAGCCACGGCCTGCAGAGCCAGCATCCCATACAGATACCAGTTCAAGTCCTGGCTGCTCCACTTCCGATCCAGTTCCCTGATAATGCACCTGGGAAAGCAGCAGAAAATGGCCCAAGTCCCTGTGGCCCTGCACCCACATGGGAGACCCAGCAGAAGTTTCTGGCTCCTGGCTTCAGCTTTGCCCAGCCCCAGCCATTGTGGCCATTTGGGAAGTGAACCAGCAGATGGGAAGATCTGGGAAATATATCCCGGAAAGCATCAGAAGATAGCCCAAGTCTTTGGACCCCTGCACCCACATAGGAAATACAGAGGAAGCTCCTGGCTCCTGGCTTTGGTCTGGCCCAGGCTTGGGTGTTGCAGCTATCTGGAGAGTGAACCAGCGAATGGAAGACTTCTCTCTGTATCTCTCTCTCTCTCTCTAACTCTGACTTTCAAATAAATAAATCTTTTAAAAAAAAGTTATCTATTAGGCACAGTGGAAATAATGAAGATACAAGTATTCTAGGACATAATCCCCATCTTAAAAGCAGAAACTGATACAATTAAAAAGTGGAGCATGGCATTCCATTAAGGGAAAATACACTTCAACTTGTCTCTGACTACATAAACCTGATTTGAAGGTTAAGGCATGAAGAGTAAAACACTACGTGTATTTAGTAACTACATAAAATTTACCTCTAGATGAATAGAATATATTAGTCACCTACTTGCAGATATCTCTGTACGTCTGAATTGCTGTATCCATATAGTGAGCAGGGTATGGCCTGGGTGCTCCTGGTTGAAGAAAAGCTGACACTGCTGCCATTTCCTAAAGGAAGAAACATAACGTATACTAATCCAAAAGGAAAAACAGTCTTTGGCATTCTGCAAACCTAAAAATTAGAATTAAGTTTACTAGAGTTTTTTTACTGTATTCACATATAAAATACTTAGAGCCTAATGCAAACTCAAAAAAAAATAATAACAGGTGTGTCTGTGCTTATTTTCTTAAAATTTTTAGTCAAATTCCAAAGATTTAAATTCAGTATTTAAATGAAATTTCCGAAACTTAGTAAGTGGGCTTGTATATATACTACCAAGCAAGTGTAGCATGAGATTTCTGCTCTACCACTTCACTATTTTTCCCTAGCATATAGGAGAGGAAAATAGACTGATAAGAGAGCAAACTAAAGTCTACCTTGGGAATAGTTAGTTAGCCTTGGTTAAGACACCTGCACCCCACACTGGAGTGTCTGGATTTGATTCCCCTGCTCTGTCTCCTAACTCCAGCTTTCTGCTAATGCAGATCCTGGGAAGCAGAGTGATGGCTGAATTAATTTGGTTTCTGCCATTCGTGTTGGAGACCTGGATTATATTCTAACTCCCAGCTTTAGCCCCAGCACAATCTACAGCATTGTGGGTATTTGGGGAGTGAAGCCTCAGATGAGAGGTGTTTTTCTGTATCTATCTGTGTTTCTCTGCTTCCTAAATAAATTTTAAAAGTACATCTCTTGGGGCTGGCACTGTGGTATAGCAGGTGAAGTCGACGCCTGCAACACCAGCATCCCATATGGACACCAGTTCATGTCCCAGATGCTCCACTTCAAATCCAACTCCCTGATAATGGTCTGGAAAAAGCAGCAAAAGATGACCTGGAAAAAGTGTTTGGACTGGACCAAGTGGGATTTACCCCTGGTATGCAGGGATGGTTCAACATTCACAAATCAATCAATGTGCTAGATCACATTAACAAACTGAAGAACAAAAACCCTATGATTATCTCAACAGATGCAGAGAAAGCATTTGACAAAATATAACACCCTTTCATGATGAAAACTCTAAGCAAATTGGGTATAGAAGGAACATTACTCAACATAATCAAGGCAATTTATGAAAAATTCATGGCCAGCATCATAGTGAATGGAGAAAAGTTTGAAGCATTCTCACTGAGATCTGGAACGAGACAAGAATACCCACTCTTACCACTGCTATTCAATATAGTCCTAGAAATATTAGCCTGAGCCATTACACAAGAATAAGAAAATAAAGGGATTCAAATCCAGAAAGAGGAAGTCAAATTATCCCTATTTGCAGATGACATGATTCTATATATAGGAGAGCTAAAAGACTCCACCAAGAGACTAATGGAACTCATAGAAGAGTTTGGTAAAGTAGCAGGATATAAAGTCAATACACAAAAATCAACAGCCTTTGTATATACAGACAATGCCACGGCTGAGACTGAACTTCTAAGATCAATCCCACTCATAATAGCTCCAAAAAAAAAAAAAAAAATCTCTATGATGAGAATTATAAAACATTAAAGAAATAAGAAGATATAAAGAAATGGAAGAATTTTCCATGTCCATGGATTGGACATCAAAATGTCCATTCTCCTGAAAGAAATTTACAGATTCAATGCGACACCAATCAAAATACCAAAGACATTCTTTTCAAATCTAGAAAAAATGATGCTGAAATTCATATGGAGGTACAGGAGACCTCGAATAGCTAAAGTAACCTTATACAACAAAAACAAAGCCAGAGGTATCACAATACCAGATTTCAAGACATACTACAAGGCAGTTATAATCAAAACAGCCTGGTACTGGTACAGAAACAAATGGATAGACCAATAGAATAGAATCGCCAGAAATTAATCCAAGCATCTACAACCAACTTATATTTGACCAAGAAGCTAAAACCAATCCCTGGAGCAAGGACAGTCTCTTCAACAAATGGTGCTGGGAAAACTGGATCTCCACATGCGTAAGTATGAAGCAAGAACCCTTCCTTACATCTTACATAAAAATCCACTCAAAATGGATTGAAAATCTAAATCTATGACACGACACCATCAAATTATTAAGAGAACATAGGCGAAACCCTATAAGACACTGGCACAGGCAAAGAGTTCTTGGAAAAGACCCCAAAGGACAAGGCAGTCAAAGCCAAAATTAATAAATGGGATTACATCAAACTGAGAAGTTTCTGCACTGCAACTCAGGAAAGTGAAGAGGCAACCGACAGATTAGGAGAAATTATTTGCAAACTAGGCAATAAAGGATATCACTCATGTCTGTCCCTTTCTCTCTGAAATTCTTTCAAATAAATACATCTTTAAAAAAATTCTTTCCAATTTTGGCATCAAAAATATGAAAACAGTACACAACAGGTTGTACTATAAATATATTCTGCTAATTACACTCTAGTTTATATCCTATATCATATAAAAAGTACAGTGATTATTTCTAGACCTATTATTACTAACAAAATTTACTTCATTTTTTAAAAAATCATTCTGTTGTCAATGCCCAGGACTTTAGTTAATGTTTCAAATAAAATAAAACACTGTCAAAGAAATTAGAAATGAAAGTTAAAATGCAGGTTTGATTTCTCTTAGTAAAATACCTTACTACATTCATCCTTTGCTCTTAAATAATCTAAATATTAATAAAAACTCACCTAGAAATAAACTGGAAACTTTCATAAACTGGAGGGGGGAGCACTAATAACACACATTTAGGAGCAATCAATTTATTTCTTTGTAACATTTTCTAAACCAGCGAAAAAAGCAAAAAATTTAAATTTTCTGAAAACTTGCTTATGATTAAAATCTTTAACTTGACAGATTTAAGTTCCATGACAAGAACTATACCTGTCCTTAGCAGTGTCTGCTCCAAAATTTACTGACTGAAAAAAAAATACATTAAAATCCATGTGATAAGTCTACAGCTCTGAAACATTTTTTAAAACTAGTTCATATTTTAAAAGAAACTAGTTTATCTTTTAACCACTAAACATAACAGTTCTAAACTGCACAAAAATATTTACTGTCTATTAAATATATGGTTGTATATTGTATTGTATATACAAAAATATATGAACTATATATACTGCACATATGTACACCATAAAAATGTACTAATAAGAGATTCTGTAGGAAAAATATGGGCCAAATTTTAAGTGACTTTTCAATTTAATTCCACAGTAAATATGAAATCAATATTACACCCAAAAAAAACTTAGCATAATTGCTACAGATACAAGTGACAACATTATAATGATCACCTCAAGTTACTGCCTTTTTTTTTTTTTTTTTACTTTTTAAAGATTTATTTATTTATTTGAAAGGCAGAGTTTTGGGGAGGAAGGGTACACAGAAAGAGATCTTCCATCCACTGGTTCACTCCCCAAATGGCCACAGCTGGGCTGATCCAAAACCAGGAGCTTCTTCTGGGTATCTCATGTGGGTACAGGAGCCCAGGGACTTGGGCCATCTTCCACTGCTTTCTCAGGTGCATTACCAGGGAGCCAAATTGGAAGTGGAACAGCCAGGACTCAAACCAGCACCCATATACACCCACCATACCTCAGCACCAGCCCCACTGTATCATCTTTGAAAATCAGGCATTATATTATTATATTATATATTATATTATTTCTTATATTCTACAATAATGGATTGATACATTTTCAAGATTTTCATTAAAAATTAGAGAAAGCTATATACCGTTCCGTTAATTATGATAGATTAAACTGCAAAAAATATCTGCTCAAGAATTTTTTTTTTACAGGCAGAGTGGACAGTGAGAGAGAGACAGAGAGAAAGGTCTTCCTTTGCCGTTGATTCACCCTCCAATGGCCGCTGTGGCTGGCGCGCCGCGCTGATCCAATGGCAGGAGCCAGGTACTTCTCCTGGTCTCCCATGGGGTGCAGGGCCCAAGCACTTGGGCCATCCTCCACTGCACTCCCTGGCCACAGCAGAGAGCTGGCCTGGAAGAGGGGCAATCGGGACAGAATCCGGAGCCCCGACCGGGACTAGAACCCGGTGTGCCGGCGGCACAAGGCAGAGGATTAGCCTAGTGAGCCGCGGCGCCAGCCTACTCAAGAATTTCTACTACTGATTTTGCTATATTTTGCATATGTGACTACCATAACTCATTATCTTCTACAATTTTCATCTAAAAAGAACATGTAACATATTCTACTGCAACACAATTTTACTTTACTGATTAGCTAATACGTAAATGGCAAATAAATGATATTAGTATTAATGAAATTTGTATTCATTGATTCATTCATACACAATTTTTCTTAGGCAAGAGGTTCAAATAAAGTAATATAAGGGGCAGGTGTTTGGTAGAGCAATTAAGTCACCACATGGGACACCTATATCCCATATAGGAGTTCCTGATTCAATTCCTAGCTATTCTATTCCCAATACACTTTCCTGCTGATGTACAAACTAGGAGAGATAAGATGATAGCTCAAGTACTTGGGTTCTTGCCACTGAGATCTAGATTGCATGCTGTGCTTCTGGCTTTCGTCTGGCCCAGCCCTGGGCCAAATGTTGTAGGCATTTGGGGAGTGAACCCGAGGATGGAAGATGGCCCTCCATCCACCCATTTCTCTTTCAAATAAAATTTTTAAAAAAATTTTTAAATTGATTATCATAGAATTATAACCTTCAGCAGGAAAAGGAATGCCCTAAAATTGGCAGAAATACAGGCAAGACAAGGGCTGACAATGGGCCATAGTAGGTAAAGCCGCTGCCTGTGGTGCCAGCATCCCACATGGGCACCAGTTCAAGTCCTGGTTGCTCCACTTCTGTTCCAGTTCCCTGCAAATGTATTAGCAAGAAGCTGCAGTCAGGAGCTGGAGCAAGGTATCAAACCTATGTACCTCCAGTATGGGGCAAAGATGTCTTAACTACTAGGCTAAAGACTCACACTGGTAAAGAGGTTTTTATTTGCATGTGAAGAGGCACAGAATTTACTGTGTATTCATGGTCTTATGAATATATGGTTTTCCACTGGGAAAGCAGCAGAAGATGGCCCAAGTCCTTGAGTCCCTGTACCCTCATGGGAGATTTGGAAGAAGCTGCTGGCTCCTGGCTTTGGATCAGCCCCGCTTCGTATATTTGGGGAGTGAACAAGTGGATGGAAGATCTCTTTCTCTCCCTCTCTCAATGTCTCTAACTCTGCCTTTCAAATAAATTAATTAATTTTAAAAAAAAGATATACTGGAAGGATCCTTTCAGTATCATTTAAAGAAAACAAAAATTGAATGCCTATACTTTGTTCCACACATACACATCCTCTCCAGAGAAGTACATCCCAGCCTTGCATAGCTGTGGACTCCAGGCAGGCTACACTTTCTTCCATGCTCAACTTCATGACAGCTCCACCAGAAGATGCTTTCTCTATCCACACCTCCAGCCAAGATTTATTTACAAAATGGTTTCATGAATTTTAATATTCTCTGAGATAACCTTCAACCATGCTAAGCCACCTGTCTAGTTTATATAGCACATCTGGATAGCATTTAATGTTTTTGTTTGTTCTCTGGTTATACAGATCAGTAAGTTTCAAGAGGACCGTCTGTCCCTATTCTATTTTTCTCAGAGACCTATTATTCTTAAGGCAGCTTCTAAAGGCTATAATGCTTATCGGGTGCACATATATCATTATAGCAAATACACCTTTATTTTCCAGAGCTAAACAATTTTCTGTGATACAATGGTTACCTCTACTTAAACAGTTTAAAATGTGGTATATATATTAGATAGAATTTAAGAATGAAAAAGCTTTCAGTACCAAAAAATCTTAGAATTCTTATCATACTTTTTAAAGATTTATTTTATTTATTTGAAAGACAGAGTTATAGAGAGAGGTAGAGACAGTGAGAGAGGTCCTCCATCTGCTGGTTCACTCCCCAGATGGCCACAACGGCCAGAGCTGCACCCATCCGAAGGCAGGAGTCAGGAGCTTCTTCTGGGTCTCATAGAAGGGTGCAGAGGCTCAAGGACTTGGGCCACCTTCCACTGCTATCCCAGGCCATAGCAGAGAACTGGATCGGAAGAGGAGTAGCCAGGACTAGAACCGGCACCGATATGGGATGCTGGCGCTTCAGGCCAGGGCTTTAACCCACTGTACTACAGCGCCAGCCCCCATGCATACTATTTTAAAAATACTATTCACTGTCAACTTTTTGAACACCCTTGCATACATGTATTTCAAAATTTTTGCACTAAATACTTCTTTCAAATCTAATTTCCATAAACTTTTTGAAGTAATTTCATATATACAATATTAAAATGCAAAACAGATGCCAATTATCATTGTCTACATAATTAGCAGTGAATGGAGATATTTAGAGCTCTTATACACTTTTGTCTTCATACTTTTATTGATAAGCTTATACACTTTTGAAAAGATTAAACAGTGTCAGTTCTACTCTTCTCTATAACACACACAGATTACATTTATATCTCTGACAACTTTTTAAAACACTGAAAGGCTATTAAGGCCACAAGTATATAAAAAACTCTTCTAAAACACCTGGGATTGTATATCAATTACAAAAACTAACATAATCAATGCTTACTATTAGCTATTTTATATATATTTTTTTTCAGACTTTAAATGGCTGATACTTCATCTACTTCTATGCCAATAAGACTCAAATTCTACCACTGAGAAAACTGAAGCTTGGATATATTCAATAATTTGCCTAAGATGACAGTCTGTGTTACATGACATGTTCTCAACCTTCATATCGTCTTATATCAAACAACTTAAAAATATTTTCAAGGTTTAAAAGCACCTTACATTTTTTTTAAAGTACCTTTATACTGTGAAATAAAAATGAAATTCAGGGGCTGGCGCTGTGGCATAGTGAGTAAAGCTGCCGTCTCCAGTGCCGGCATCCCATATGGGCACCAGTTCAAGTTCCAGCTGCTCCACTTTTGATCCAGCTCTCCGCTATGGCCTGGGAATGCAGCAGAAGATGACCCAAGTCCCTGGGCCCCTGCACCTGTGTGGGAGACCCGGAAGAAGCTCCTGGCTCCTGGCTTTGTATCAGCACAGCTCCAGCCAATGTGGCCAATTGGAGAGTGAACCACAGATGGAAGACCTCTCTCTCTCTAACTGGGGAATGAACCACAGATGGAAGACCTCTCTCTCTCCTCTCTCTCGCGCACGCGCTCCTTCTCTCTCTGCCTCTCCTTCTCTCTCTCTGGAACACTTTCAAATAAAATAAATCCTTAAAAAAAGGAAATTCAAACTGAATTTTGAAAGTGATGCAAAAATTAGAAGGTACGAACCAAAACTAAGAAATCAACTTTCACAGAGCCGACATTTAGTGCAGTTGATAAGATGCAGTTGGGACACCTGCATCCCGTATCAGAGTGACTGGGTTCAAGTCTGGTCTCCACTCCCAATTCCAGCTTCCTGCTAATGTACCTCCTGGAATGCAATGGTAATGACTCAAGTAATTGGGTCCCTGCCATCAACACAGGAGACCTGAATTGAGTTTCCAGCTCTCAGGCATGTGGGAAGTGAACCAACAGATGGGTACTCTCTCTCTCTCTGTTTCTCTTTCTGTATCTCTGCATCTCAAATGAATAATTTTCAAAAACTTAGCCTCATATATGATTATCTTCAAACACACTAGTTGAAGTTAGCACAAATGAATCCAAAAATCTGGAAGACATTGTATGCTCCTTGAGTATAATTCCATTCTAGGGATGCTGTTTGCCTGTAGGAGAAATTTCTAAACTATATACAGTAGCAAAAATAAGGAATTATAATACCACAGAATACCAACCAAGGCACCAGCTGCATAAAGCATTGCTTGGTCATTAAGAAAATCCTTCTTTGCAGTATGATAGCAACTGTAAGCCAAATCATAATGCTGCACCAAAAAACATAAGTCAGCCATCTTCCTGATTTGAAGCTCTGGTGCTTCTGGTGGATACCTGAAAACACAAAATAATTAATAAGACAATTTACTGAGGCCAGCATTGTGGCGGGTTAAGCTGCTGCCTGAGATGCTGGCATCCCATATCAAATGCTGGTTCAAGTCTCAGCTGCTCCACTTCCAATCCAGCTCTCTGCTAATGTGCTTAGGAAAACAGTGGAAGATGGCCCAAGTACTTGGGCCCCTGCCACCCACATGGGAGACCCAGATGGATTCCCAGGTTCCTGACTTCTGCAACCATCTGTGGAGTGACCCAGCAGATGGAAGATTTTTCCTTCAATTTCTTCCTCTCTGTCACTCTTTCAAATAATAAAAATAAAGCTTAAAAAGAAATGCATAGTTCATGACTTCCCACAGCACTAAATATAAAATACATAATAAGCTGCTCAACTGTCCAGAAAGTGATGACAACTAATTCTGTTTTATAAGAATTCTAAATCCAAGAGGGTCATTTTTCAAAATTATTTGAACAGAAAAGTTATTGTATGTATTTATTTGTTTAATCTATCACCCTGGGAACTTCTTAACAGAAGGTAAGCATTCTCTCTATGGTAAATTATGAAGCAAATGGTTAATTCCAAGTGATATATTTTCATATTCAAACAGGAAAAACAATTAAAATCTAAAGTCAATTATTTTCCTTTTCCTTAAAGTAGGATTTTGTATGAAACAAAACCTGTTAAATATATACAGTCTTAGAATCATTAGAGCCCAATATTTTACATATAGTAGAGTTATTAATGAATATCTAATCTAACTGCATCTTTTCTACAAATAGGGAAACTGAAAAGTGACTTTCCCAGTTATCTTGTTTATTTTTAGATGTCCAATTACCAGTTTTTAATAACTAATAATATATTATTTTAAAATATTAATGAGTAATTTACTTATAGACACTGTTCCTATCTATTTGAGTTTTGACCATGAAACTAAGAAAGTAAAAAGAGAATTATTTTTTGCAGGACATCACATAGATGTCAGACAGACATACAGATGTTTAGACAGACAGAATTAAACACAGGAAAAATAAAAATATTTTACTCACAGCAATCCAGACGTGTTTTTCAGCTCATTGATGCTCTTTTCTGGAACTTTATTGCCACTAAACCATTTTTTAGTTGCAGAAAAGAGAGATCGACTCAAACCTTTTCTTGATATTAGCTAAGAAAAAGATTAAATACATTGACAAAGATGAAAAACTTTTCTTTTATATAAAAAATTTTATGTTACCATAAAGCTTTAATAATGAGGAAATATTCAATTTAATTACACAGACTAAAGAAAACTATTTAATATGCTGGAAAAATCCTAGTGAAAATAAGTAAGTTGCTTTTGGGGTTGAACAAAGTTTCATTATTGATAGTAATTGCAGGCGGGCGCCGCGGCTCACTAGGCTAATCCTCCCCCTTGCGGTGCCGGCACACCGGGTTCTAGTCCCAGTCGGGGCGCCGGATTCTGTCCCAGTTGCCCCTCTTCCAGGCCAGCTCTCTGCTGTGGCCAGGGAGTGCAGTGGAGGATGGCCCAATTGCTTGGGCCCTGCAACCCATGGGAGACCAGGATAAGTACCTGGCTCCTGCCATTGGATCAGTGCGGTGCGCCGGCCACAGCGTGCCAGCCATGGCGGCCACTGGAGGGTGAACCAACGGCATAGGAAGACCCTTCTCTCTGTCTCTCTCTCTCTCACTGTCCACTCTGCCTGTCAGAAAAAAAAAAATAGTAATTGCAGTTAAGTCCTGATATTGATCTAAAAAATAAAAAAACTGCAAATATTTTAAGTAATTTATACTACCACATCCTTTACTTTTAAAAAATTTTTGAGAGGCATATTGAGAGATGAACAGAGAGACTGAGAGCTCCTATCTTTTGGTCAGCTCCCCAAATGCCCAAAATGTCTTGGCTGACTGAAAGCCAAGAACTCAATTCAGGTCTCCCAAGTGGGTGACAGAACTGCAGTTACCCAAGCCATCACCTCCATCACTGCTGCCTTCCAGAGGCTCCTTTGGCAGGAACCTAGAGTCAAGAGCCACAGCTGGGAACTGATAAGGAACCTGGGCATCTTAACAGGTACCTTAGCCATAAAGCTAAACACCCCCTAAACAACTCCATTCTTAATCTAGTATTTACTTAAATTTTAAAAATAATGATCCAAGAGCAAGAATTTGGCCTAGTAAGATAGCCACATCTCATTACCACAATACCTGCCTTCAGCTCCCAATTCTGGTTTTATAAAGACCCTGGGAGGTAATGATAATGACTCAAGTGGTTGGGTTCCTACCACCTCCATGAAAGATCTGGATTGAGTTCCCAGCTCCCAGGTTGGTCCTGTTGGGGCCATCTGGAGAGTAGACCAAGAAATGGGAACTCTTTTTTTGACTCTCTCCCTCCCTCTCTGCCTCTCAAATAAATAATAAAAAGTGAATAATAGTGATGATGATCCAAAAACTTAATTGTTACCTGATCATTTAATTGCCGAATTGTTTTCTCTATATGTGGTAAAAGGCCTCGAAATGTGAACTCTTGTATAAACTGTCGAATTCTATCATGATCAGTAAGTGTCAAACATGCACCATGAATTATTCCAGTATTTGCTTTCTTTGTTTCATGTAATGATGAAGCAGATTTTACATGATCTGGACCATCAATGATGTTAGAAGGGTCACTGGATGGGTCCAACTGAAGTGGGTGAGCTCTAAAGTTATTTGGTAAGCCATCTACTGAAAAACAGATCTTCCTTTTAATTTTTAGAATACAACAGAAAATTGTGATACTACCACCACACTGCTAAAGAAAAAAAGTTGGAATCCTTTATTTTTCTTAAAAGCTTAGAAATCTAAGACACAATAACATCAACATTTTCCCCTACAAATTTATAGTGCTTGAGTTAATACTTATTACAGGTAACAGAAATGTTTAAATTTATGTAATCAGAAAATGAATAAAAGTAGTTTTTAAATAAATTACTTTTAAATAGAACAACTAAGCCATAAGTAAATTTATAACCAAAAAATTCAGGTATCATTAACAAAACTATAATTTAAAATACAGAAGCAAAGTTCTGAAAATCATGCAAACTTGAGAAATAATGAATGCTATATATTACAACCTCCTTTGCTTTCTAGTTTTTTTTAAAAAGAAACTTGATACATTAGTCTTAGAAAAAACTTAAATACCCAAATAATCAAATTCAAATGACTCAATAAAATCTTCAGAAGAAAAGCTAACCTTCCCTTTACGTTTCTGTTATGAAAATCACCCACATCTTTTATCTAAAAAGGTTAGCATGCTTTGACAACAGTGTATATCTTCCATCAAAAGAGAACTTAGAGAAAATATATCAAGACCTTTGACTTCGTTATCTAATCCATCCAATGACAGCAAGTTACTATCAGAATTCTTATGTGAAGTTACAGTATAAGGGCCATCTTCATATGATTCCTATCAAAATAAAATAAAAAAGCATTAGCAATATTTAGCCATATTTAAAATACCACCAAATATCTCAACAACCATGGTTACTCTTCTAATTGTTAGCCTCTTTTATTGGCTATAACAAAACTCTTCGAGTCCTTCAAATTCTTAATTACTTCCATGTTATTCTCTCACTCCAATTCATATCTACTATATTCTCAAATTCCCTTCCATATTCACTCTTCTACCCTTGTTCTTCTGAACTCAAAATATCTCACTTTACCTGTTTACACACACACACACACACACACACATATACACACACACACATATCATATATAAGCACAGGTATTCAATAGAAATATACATTTCCTATGAATCTTACACAAGAAATAACGACAAGAAATATAAAATACTAGAGTCAAGCAGGGGAAGAAAAAGGAACTGGCTATGGAATCTCCAGGGTCATGGACACAGTGCTAACAGGTCAAATTCTGAATATATGAAGTGTTTTGGAAAAATGCTCAATGTGTAATTTATACAATGTAGTTTATTCACATAAAAGCATCAGTTTCTTAGTCAGCAAAGAATATTTAAACTAAAAATACTCAGACAATTCCGTGAGACCAGTAAATAAGAATGTTATCTGAGTGCCACATTCTAAAAGATATAAAACTAGGTATATTTAGTCTGAAAAATATAAAAGAGAACACGAGAGCTATTTTTTTATATTTTTGAAAATTGTCCTAATGAAAAACTGATATTGATCCCTGCCAAAGATCAATGAGTAAAAGCAAAAGAAGAAAATTAATGGTTGTTCTTCAAGCTGTTCAGACACAGAATGGGTCACTTAAAGAGAAAGTGAGTGCCATCAGTAGATGAGGTAGTCATTCATAGCTTTAAAGGAAACTAAAGCATTAGGGGTTAATTTAATAACCTTTAAACTACCCTCCAATCCTGGGCATCTAGGATTCTATTATAAAATTTCCAATAACTGTGTCTTTTGTTAAAGGTTCTTTTTTTTTTTTTTTTTTTTTTTTTTCAGACAGGCAGAGTGGACAGTGAGAGAGAGAGACAGAGAGAAAGGTCTTCCTTTGCCGTTGGTTCACCCTCCAATGGCCGCCGCTGCAGCCGGCGCACCGCGCTGATCCTGGCAGGAGCCAGGAGCCAGGTGCTTTTCCTGGTCTCCCATGGGGTGCAGGGCCCAAGCACCTGGGCCATCCTCCACTGCACTCCCTGGCCATAGCAGAGAGCTGGCCTGGAAGAGGGGCAACCGGGACAGAATCCGGCGCCCCAACCGGGACTAGAACCCGGTGTGCCGGCGCCGCTAGGCGGAGGATTAGCCTATTGAGCCACGGCGCCGGCTGTGTTAAAGGTTCTTGAACTAAGGGGCCAGCATTGTGGCACAGCTGCTTAAGCTGCCACTTGCAATGCATCCTATATTGGAGTGCTGGTTCAAGTTCCAGCTGTTCTGCTTCCAATCTAGTTTTCTGCTAATGCACCTAGGAAAGCAGGAGATGGCCCAAGTGCTTGGGCCCCTGTCACCTGTGCGGGAGACCAAGATGGAATTCTTGGCTCCCAGTTTTGTCGTCCTGGCTCAGCCCTGGCTTTTGTGGGCATTTAGGGAATAAACCAGCAGACAGAAAAAATTCTCTCTCTCTCTCTCTCTCTCTCTCTCTTCCTCCCTTCTTCCCTCCCTCTATCTCCCAGTCACTCTGACTTTCAAATGAGTACATAAATAAATATTTTCTGGAAAAAAAAAAAAGTTCTCAAACTGGGTCATTTGATTTACATTCCCCCTCACACCTACAGATGGCTAGACTAAATTGAATTTTAGTACTGAATGGACCTGTAAGACCATTAAAAAAAAAAAGCTCTTTCACATCCAACTGATTCTTTTTTCCTCAGACTTTTCCCTAACATAATCTTAAATAAAGTCAACAATCATCTCAATGTTAAAGTGATTATTAGGATAACACTACATCTAGATTAAAAATTCTACAGTAATAAGACAAATAAACAGATTATTATTTATATTATAAAGTTCAAAATTCACATAAACTTTATTATAATTGATATTTTAAAATATCACATAAAAAACACATAATTCAGTTTAGTTGCCCAAAATCTAATTTCCATTTATTTGAAAATCCTCCTTCTAAACAAAACAGTCAACTCTTGATTATCTGACCTAAGCATAGAAACTTGGCATTTGACTACTACCAAGTATCATATAACTGTATCATAAATGACAGAATGTGAAATATTATATATCCACCCATTTCAGCCAACAAACAACAATTAACATTAGTCCAGAGTTCTAGATTAAAAAAGGAAGAAATAAAACTTCCTGGAAATTAAGAAGGAAAGGAAATCAAAAGAAAGGGAAAAAAGCCCACCCACCTAAAAAGTATGAGCTCCAAAAGGTGGCCATAAGAACAGCATGTTGAAATGTAGGAAGGCAACCCCAGAGCATGTGGATAATAAAGAATTGACTGTAAGCATTCATAATGAATTAAATGGACAAGTCAAAAATGCTATTCTCTACATGTCTAGCCAATCTAATTCGAACCTTAATGTGTAATTCACTTTTCATCTTTTAAGAAATAATTAAATATTGTATACCTAAAAACAGTAAACATAAGGGATCACTGCAGCTGGTTTAAAAACAGCTTTTGAACCACTGATTTTAGAGATCATAGCTGATGACTCAAACTAGCCAGGATCTACAAGACAAATATTACTGACTGTAATACTTAAACTAAGACATCAAAAATTCTACAGTGGCACTATTACATCAGAAAACTCAAATACAGATTTTGTGGCTGCTTTCATTGTTGTTTTTTACATATACCTGGTTTTGAATACTATTTTTCTGCAGATACTGACTCCAAGGATCTGGTATCTGTTCATCTGATGCTTGATTAGATGTTCGAGAGTTAATTTTAAGTAAATAGCAACCCTGAGTTCCGTACTTCTGTTTCATGTCTTCATAAATTGATTCAGCTCTTTAAAAAAAACAAAAGAAAAGAAGTTTGTAGTAAACAGGGAGCTGACCTTAGGCAATAATAAATCTTAAAATAAAATACAAAGTGGGGGCCGGCGCTGTGGTGTAACAGGTAAAGCCGCTCCCTGCAGTGCCAGCATCCCAAATGGGCGCCAGCTTCAGTCTCAGCTGCTCCACTTTCGATCCAGCTCTCTGCTATGGCCTGGGAAAGCAGTAGAAGATGGGCCAAGTCCTTGGGCCCCTGCACCCACGTGGGAAACCTGGAAAAAAGCTCTTGGCTTCGGATCAGCGCAGCTCTGGCTGTTGTGGCCATCTGGGAAGCAAACAAACAGATGGAAGACCTCTCTCTCCTCTGCTTCTCTGTAACTCTGCCTTTCAAATAAATAATAATAAATAAATCATTTTAAAAAATACAAAAATAATCCTCAAGAGAGAAAAGACTAAACTACAGAATAATAATTCAAAAATCAAAACAAAAACTGTGATCCTAATTGAAATTTAGCCAGCTTCGTTATCACCTTAAAGTATAGTTTCCAGGGGTTGGCGCTGTGGCATAGAAAGTTAAGCCTGTCTACAGTGTTGGCATCCCACACAGGAGCCAGTTTGAGTCTCAGCTGCTCCATTTCCAATCCAGTTGGCAAGTACTTAGGCCCCTGCATCTACATGGAAGACCTGAAGGAAGCTCCTAGCTCCTGGCTCCTGGCTTCTGCCTGGGGAGTGAACCAGTGGATGAAAGATATTTCTCTTTCTCTCTCTCTCTCTCTCTCTCTCTCTCTCTCCTTCTATTTCTGCCTTTCAAATGAATAAACAAAACATATTTTTAAAAAAGGTACAGTTATCAAATTATATTCCAAGGAATATAAAATTCTACAAGATATTCCTATAGGTTATTCAAAAAGAAAAGTTCTGGCAATCAAGCTAGTTCAGAGGAATCACAGAAAACAAAACCAGTTTCTTTATAGCAGACCATCTCAAGCCTCCCACTTGCTAATTGTGCACCATGAATTTCCAAAAAGTAGCTTCAAATTTATAAATCAGGAACCCTGTATCTCTCAACTATGGGAACTAGTCCTTCAGGAAATATGACTTTGGGAGATTCTAGCTTGGAGAATATTTATCAATAAATATAACTGCTAAAACAAGTAAGTACAGCTTCAAAAAACTTACAAAATAGGACACAATTCAAAGAAAGAAAAGGAGAGAATAAGTGAGCAAAAATAGCTTAAGTATTCATAACATAAAATCTACTTTTACTTAACTTGCAAAATTTATAGTAGATGGATCCATGAGCTGCATCTTAGGTGCAACAAAAAAATTCTCACTGCCATATTTAAAGGTAAACGAATTTGCTGGTTGGTGGGAGATAATTCAAATGAAAAGATATCCTACCAACCATCAAAAATGAAATTTTGAATCATAGAGGTAACCTAGTTTAAATGGGTATTTACCAGTCAATCAGTCACCTGGTCTAAAAACAAAACAAAAACATAGGAAGTCTTAAAGCATATTCAAATACAAATGCTAACACTATACAAGTAATATGCCCATCAAACAAGTAAATAATACTACACACTATAAAATTAAGGTTGGGTAAGTAAAAGAGTTTAAAAATTTTATATAAAGATAAAATCATACATGTGTATAGATACACACACTCTGGAACATTAAGCCAAATTCCTGCTTGTTTTACCAATGATACTGCTAAACTTAAAAACCACTAATATAAGACCTGAATTATCACCTAAATATCCCTGTTACAACAATTCAATGCAAGATATATGTCATACTCAACTGTAGAAACTAATTTTAAAAGCCAATTCAAATTATTTCTGTTTATATAATATACTTTATCTAACAGGTTACAGATATTTCAAGAAATCCTACAGATTAATCCTCAGAGTAACTCTTAGGTTCTGTAGAGAAAAATTTATTAAAAAGATAATTTGTACACAGAATAAGGGTAAAGAATTATTTCTAAATTACACATTCTAAATGACACTGCGATATCAAAATAATAGTTTGAAACAAAAGATTTGATCTACAGGGCCGGTGCTATGGCAGAGCGGGTAGAGCTGCTGCTTACAGTGTTGGCATCCCATATGGGCACCAGTTCAAGTCCTGACTGCTCCATTTCCAATCCAACTCTGCTATGGCCTGAGAATGCAGTGGAAGATGGCCCAAGTCCTTGGACCCCTACACCTGCGTGGGAAATCCAGAAGAAGCTCTTGGTTCCTGGCTTCAGATCAGTACAGCTCCAGCCATTGCAGCCACTTGGGGAGTGAACCTACGGATGAAAGACCTCTCTCTCTCTCTCTCTCTCTCTCTTTCTCTCCCCCTCTCCCTCTCTGTGTAACTCTTTCAAATAAATAAATCTTTAAAATACAAAGATTTGATCTACACCTGAATCAAAAGCCACAATAAACTCTAAAGCCATGAAAGGAAAATTGTTTTTAATGTTCACCTTATTTTTCAACATTTTTTAAGAAACTTATTCATAAATATGAAGGTAAAAGAATTATAGCAAGTCACAAATGACAAACATTAAAGGGAAGAAGGAAATATTTGGATTTTTTGAGACTGAAAAACATCAAGAGTAAAAATATAAAGTGGCAAGAGACCAGACAGTAAAAATTGCCTATAAGCAACAATCATGCACTGAATATTAAAGGAAAACAGGAAAAAAAATGAGAACTACTTTTATATAAAGAAATAACAGCACAGACAGACAGATGTAAAATTGTCAAATGCTTTTATACAAAGACTGTATACAGCTATATACTAAAAACAAAATTTGGGTAAGCATTTGAAATCTAACATAAAATGACTTTGTTGAATGTAACTCCAGAATAATCGACAAGGCTAAATGCTTTACTGATAGATTCTTATAATAATTTTTTATATTCTTGGATTAAAAAATACATATAAATGTCCAAATTAATATTAAGTCAGTTTATAGGAAAAAAATGAAAATTAAAAAACCAAGACTTACCTCTGTTCATCTCCTGAACTGACATCATGTAAAAGTACGTAATATTTAAGTGTATTTGGTATAAACCATTTAGGGTAGGAATAATCATTATTGTGCTGAATTCGATGCTGTTCTTGTGACAACTTTGAAAACTGTTCCATAGGTTCAGCATCACTAGATGAAGCCACCAACATACCTTGTAAACCATGTTGTTAAGGTAATTATCACTTATCACTCATGGATAAATACTATGCTATTAGGATAAACTTTCAAGAGATTTACTCAGCTAAAAAAAGTCTGACTTCCTAAGCTTTCACTGTAAGCACAATGCAATTTCTCCAAACTCCAAAGTAATTCAAAGTTCTGCATGTTAAATGTGATTCTGTTGACAGTTTTTATATATCCAGTAAATACATCCATAAAAATTAAAATGGACTCTATCAAAATTGTAGAACTGTCAACATGCTGAACAATTCTGTTGTCTTACTCATTTCCCATCCTTCCCACTGCAGTTTCATACTCCATCCTGTTCATTTTTCTCTATAATCTCAACAAGAAAATTAAAATATGATAGTTTTCAATAAGGATAAAAAGGTTACTAAAATACAGAAAATGATCTACATCTGTGCTATAGAATAAGCAACTAATTCTTAGGCAGTCAGCAAATGTAGTTAACAATGACCATTTACATTTCCTTATTCTAAAATGGTTTTAAAATCTTTTTAGCAAACTAGAATAAGGAAAAATAATAAGTCCTTAAAAGTCTTATGATAAAAAATTAATTTACTATAGAAGTTCTGTACTTAGGATGTTATTTAACAATACAAAATCTGACACATTATCAATAAAAGAAATTTCTGTATTCTCCATGTCCTCTCAACAATTTTGCCTTCATTTAACTATTTCTGAGATTAATAACTTCATTAACATTTGATGTTAAGGAAACAAAGTTCAAAGGATACATGCTAAATAGTGGTTCAGAAATTCATGATCTGAGGCAGGCATTGACTGAAGAAAGGTCTCTCTATAGGACTCAAACCATGGAGTAGTAGCTAAAAGTAATATATAAAATGGTTAAAATCCCTTAATAGAAACAATTCAGAACAAACAAAATCTCAGTCTATATTCCTAAAAAGTATGAAAGGTAACTTCTGGCAGTAACCAAGCATTTTCTACTATGTGTTCAGACAAACACATGTATTAGTGTGTGTTTATGCCAATCTCATAAATATAGTCACACATAAAAGCATATGTATTTGCAAAAATAAAGGTGAATTATTCTCCAGCCCATACAATGTTCCTATAACCTACTTACCTATTAATGCTCAATATATTACATATACGAGTAAAAAGATTTTAAAACTAAATTTTGTGCCCTGATACTGATCACACTGTCATAAACTGATCCTTTTCAAAATTATATCACTTTAGCAAAGCGGTTCTCAAATAAGATATTGCTTCCCAGGAAACATTTGGCAATGGTATGGAGATATTTTGTGCTGTCACAATGAGGGGAGGGATGCTACTTTTATCTAGGTAAAGAGGTCAGTAAAGGTAAAAAACTTACAATGCACTAGAGAAGAAGGCCACTAAAAACAAAAAATTATTTGGCTCAAAATGTCAACATGGCTTCAGCTGTTAAACACTATAACCTAATCAGATTATTAGGTAGAATTTCAAAGGATAATTACCTTATAATCAAAGACAAAGAGGTATATTTCCACTTCTTTTGTATACATACATATGATTTTTTTAAAGATTTATTTATTTATTTATTTGAAAGGAAGAGTTATAGAGAGGAAGGGGCAGAGAGAGAGAGAGAGAAAGAGAGAGAAAGAGTGTCTTCTATTCGCTGGTTTACTCCCTAAATGACCGAAACAACCGGAGCTGCGCCGATCTGAAGCCAGGAGCCAGGAGGTTCTTCCAGGTCTCCCACATGGGTACAGGCACCCAAGGACTTGGGCTATCTTCTACTGCTTACCCAGGCCATAGCAGAGAGCTGGATTGGAAGTGGAACAACCAGGACTCAAACCAATGCCCATATGGGATGCTGGCACTGCAGGTGGTGGCTTTACCTGCTAAGCCAGAGTGCCAGCCCCAGACATATGATTCTTAAGAATGTCAACTCTCCTGCTTCACACTAAGCATTTTACAACTATTTGTTTCATCTGAATTTACTTAAACTGAATCATTTCAATATAATTGGACAGATTACTATGTCACAGCTTTACTCAAAGGACACTCCATTCCTAGGTATTTATGAAGATCACCAAACCTTATATCCCAAGCTTCTGGCTTGGGATCATTGAGGTCATCTGGGGTTTGAACTGGCTGTTGGAAGTTCTCTCTTTCTGTCTGTAACTCTGCCTCGCAAATAAATAAATAAATCTTTAAATATATATATATATAATGGTATAGTTATATATAGTTATATTATAATAACAACTTCATGTTCAAATGGTGAAACAGAATAATCTACATGAAAATCTGGAAAATGACAGACAGTAATATCTGTTAGAATATGAAACCAATTTTCTCATAAATCCTTATCATATATCCTCCCCCTTTCTAAATCAGTCAAAATTAGCCTCTATCTGGAAAATAAAGGCATATTTTTATTTAGCACTAATAACATGAACAGAAAAAGGATAATGAAAATTTTGGCTAAATGAGACAAAATCTCTGCAGATATGAGGAAATTGCTGATTATTCATTATTTTTCTATTTACTCTGTTGTTTCAATACTGCTTAAATTTGACAAATAGGTAAGTGTAGTCACAAGAGAAGGAGTTTGTCACATGGACGGGGTGGTGAATTTTCAATAAAACAAAGCAGATCTTCCAAAATAGGTATTCTTTGCATTACTATCTGTAATAAAAGATTAGAAAATCTTTTGGTCATAAGGAGAAGACTGGTTAAATAATCTATGGTACAGTCATTAAACGGATGCACTGTGTAGCTGTAAGAGAAAGGGGAAAGTCTCCATATATTGTAATGAAGTGTCTCCCAGTTATGGGAATTAAAAAAGCAGCAGCAGAACAAAATTAATTTTTGTGGAAGAAAACAGAAAGGCACTACACATGTATTGGTTTATATTTTCAAAGAGAAATAACAGAAAGAGAAATTTGATTGATTTAATTATCTATGCAGGGCAAGAGCTGCTGAGAGATGAGAAAGGCACTGCAGGACATGGAGAAAGGCTGGACCTCTCTGTACCTTTTTATTTTTTTACAGTTTTTTGCTGAATAAACATATATATAATTAAAATGGAAGTGCCAAAACAAAGCAAAATACACACACACACAGAGATGTTCTTAAATTGAATTAACTTCCTAAATAGTGCTGCAGGAAGAAACTAGGCACTCAACTAAGGATATGAGGAACAAACTTAATATATCTGGCAGAATTGCATTTCATCAATTCAGACAGACCACATTTAGGTTGATAAGGTCAAGTTTTCCCTTCAGCTAAATGTTTCCTTGAAAGGCTAAACAGGAAATCTTCCTCCAAGTTTGTTAAATAGTAGTAAATGAAAGGCATCCTTCAAAACAAATGACATTTTTGTAGAAAGTGGGAAATAAAATTATATTTTTGAAAATCTTCCTGTTAACAGAAAACTAACACATAATGACCATCCTTTCCTGCTCAAAATTCTCTTGCTTATTCTGGGGTGAAATCATTACTTTACATATCCCCTTCCAATCCTACATGTCCTTTGTTTAGAATTCAAACAGCAACCATGTTAGCCTACTAGTTGAAAATTTACCCAGAACTACTTGGTCTTAGGAAAGAAGTGGAATGTGTTCTTCCACTTTATCAAAACAAGATGCAGTCAAACCTATTCTATTAATGGAAATGCCTGGATATGGTACCCAATGTTGGAAAACAAAAATAAATATGATGGGTAATGTGATAACACTTCAAAAAGTTCATGGAAAATTGAAGTTAAAGGATGTTTATTAAGATGTAAATTTTTAAAATCTATTGTTTTTTCATAATACATATTTTCCATGAACTGTTTTTGTTCTTGAGACACAGAAAGAGACAGTGCATACCCATCCATTGGTTGACATTCACCTCTCAAATGCCTGCAACAGCTGGGAATCAGCCAGGTTGAAATTAGGAGTCTAGAACTCAATTCAGATCTCCCATGTGGGTGATAACAACCCAATTATTTGAGTTATCACCTACTGCCTCCCAGGGTTCACATTAGCAGGAAGTTGGAGTCAGGAGCCAGAGCTGGGCGTAGAACCCAAGGACTTCAATGTGAGAAATCAGGCATCCTAACTAGTGTCTTAATCACTGGGCCAAACATGTGCATCTCTATAAGCTGTTCTTTATTTTTTTAAGATTTATTTATTCATTTGAAAGACAAGTTACAGACAGAAAGGGAGAGAAAGAGAGAGATCTTCTATCTCCAGGTTCACTCCCCAGATGGTCACAAAGGCCAAGCCTGGGCAAGCTGAAGCCAAGAGCTTTTTCCAGGTCTCCCATGTAGAAGGCAGGAGCCCAATCACTTGGGCCATCTTTCATGCTTTCCAAGACCATCAGCAGAGAACTGAATAGGAAGTGGAACAGCTGGGACACAAACCGGTGCCCATATGGGATGCTGGCATTGCAGGCGGTGGCTTAACCTACTATGTCATGCAGGCCCCTCCATGAGCTGTTTGAAAACCCCTCGTAAGTGATAGGAGAGAAACAAAAGTTGAATGAGCATAATTAGTCCTCCCTCATTTTAGAAAAACTAAGTAGACATATTAATTAAGACAAATACTAGGCCGGTGCCGTGGTTCAATAGGCTAATCCTCCACCTGTGGCACCGGCACAACGGGTTCTAGTCCTGGTTGGGGCACCAGATTCTGTCCCAGTCGCTCCTCTTCCAGTCCAGCTCTCTGCTGTGGCCCAGGAGTGCAGTGGAGGATGGCCCCATTGGGCCCTGCACCCACATGGGAGACCAGGAGAAGCACCTGGCTCCTAGCTTCAGATTAGCGCAGTGAGCCGGCCACAGCGCACCAGCCGCAGCGGCCATTGGGGTGTGAACCAACAGAAAAAGGAAGACCTTTCTCTCCGTCTCTCTCTCACTGTCCACTCTGCCTGTCAAAAAAATAAAAAATAAAAAAAGGCAAATACTAAAAAGGTCACAGCTGAGTGGAAAAAAGTATCCAAGGAGCAAAATGAGAATCTAGAAAACTGAGACCATCACAAGAAATACCTGTATATAACAAAGATTCTTTCAGTTCCATCAATGTGTCTTTCCAATTACTGCACCAAGGAACACTAGCTTTAAATGACTGATCTGAATTAAGAAAACATGGCACTGTTAAGCTGGGGTTCTGAGGTAAATATATAATATCTACTTCTTAAACATTAAAGAATAAAGCCATCTTAGTAATTCCTAAAGAGTATTCTGTTTAGTGGAATTTTATTCAAATGAACTCAGTACTTCATCATATCTTGTTCTGTTTTCAAAGTCATAAAAAAAAGAAGTTGAAAAGAGGTGCCTTAAAGTAGCAGGGAAGCTGAAGAAAAATTTGTCATCTAGTATGTCATTTATCCTAATCACTTGGGATTCTTTTTCTCTTAAAGATTTATCTTTTTTTATTTTTATTTATTTATTTAAAAGTCAGAGTTACACAGAAAGAGGAGAGGCAGAGAGAAAGAGAGGTCTTCCTCTGATGGTTCACTCTCCAGATGGCCGCAACAGCAGGAGCTGCACCGATCCGGAGCTAGGAGCCAGGAGCTTCTTCTGGGTCTCCCACGCGTATGCAGGGGTCCAAAGACCTGGGCCATCTTGTACTGCTTTCCCAGGCCATAGCAGAGAGCCGGATTGGAAGAGGAGCAGCTGGGACTAGAACCAGCGCCCATATGGGATGCCAGCGCTTCAGCCCAGGGCGTTAACCCGCTGCGCCACAGTGCTGGCCCCTTAAAGATGTATCTTTTTTTAAAAAAATTTATTTATGTAGTGGAAGATGGCCCAAGTGCTTGGGCCTCTGCACCCACGTGGAAGACGAGGAAGGGCACCTGGCTCCTGGCTTCGGACTGGTGTAGCGCC